ACTTTTTTCGTTTTCTGTTTAGTGCCATTATGCAACCCCAATTAACCTGATATTCATAACGAAGGACATTCGAACTTAACCTAACCAGTGATAAGACGAGAATAAACAATATATAATTAGTTTGTATACATTAGTATTTATTATTTTAGTACCTAGTCTACTCGCGGTTATGGAATTTGTTGGCACTCGGCAGGCTTTTAAAGCCTGCAATTCCGTAAGAAAAAATATTTACAGCCCGTAGGTTGCTCATCATTGGCTTAGGATCCATCAGTTTTACGTTATAGCACTGTGTGGTTATAGCTTAGGGCCATAATAATAAGTCTAACAAGTCTCACTGTGGGCTTGGCAAAGCCCGTGACAGCTAAGATTAAAAAAAGCCCTCTTAGTGCCCACCTAAGAGGGCCTGGCTACTCGTAGGCTGCCATCTTGACTACTCGGCCACAACTGAAAGATTAAAAATGGACGTGAGGTTATCCGAAAATCTTAAATTCTAAAATTCCTAACGAACAAAATTTTAAAACTGTAAAAGGGGAAATTCCCGAATTACATTTGAAGAAAAATGCTTTTTTCTTCAAATGTAATTCGATTTTTCTTCAGAGTGAAGAAAAATCGAAGGTCGAAGGATGAGAGGTGTTTGAGAAATTCAAATACATGAAAGTTTGGAAAGAAATAATCAAAGAGAAATGATTTTTAATCTTAGAAAAAAATTGGATGGAAGGATTGAGATTTCATAGAAATTATTAACATCAAATTACAAATTTTTGGACGAGATAATTGATATGGAAGAACTTGGCATGGAATCGTTCTCCGTTTTTGATACAACTCGGATATTCAAGGAACCGTCGAAAAATGCCAGTGCCATAGAATTTCTACACATACCGTTTATAGAATACCCTGCATTGAAAAATCTGCACAAAGATCCTACGTACAAAACTAATTTTCGTCGACTCGATAATATCTTCCCTGACAATTCTAACAATCCCAATATACTAGAATTTGCTGAAATCGCGAATCGCTTATTGGGAAAGAAAAAATATGCACTATCTTCTCATTCTTCAGATTAAGTTTATGGAATTACGGAATTATTTAAAATTATTTGAAGCATGGTTTTTCTTCAGTCTTTCTACTCTGTAGTTGGCCTACTAAAACGGTTTTTTTTTTTTATCACCGAAGTCTATAATGAGGGCAGCCGGGTGGCGAGGGACGGATCCTGGTGAAAATTCCCGGGGTTTCTCGCGCGGATTCGATCTCAAGTCCTCCGGATGATTTTGATTCCTTTATCCGCCTCTGTCATCCAACATGAAAAATTCATAAATTCATTTTAAAAGATTAAAATGTTGTGCCTTCTTTCCTAGTTACATTGAGTATTGAAAGCATTTCAATGCTGGCAACTTTCAATAAAGCCGAAAAAGTAATAAATTATTTTTTCCGGGATATTTAGGGCTTAATCTTCTCATTTCTCTGGATTTATAGCGCCATTATTAAGTCCTCCCGTTGTTTTGATTACTTATTATTATTTTTTGATATATTAGAAAAGACAATTGTAATGTACACTGAATGGCCAATTTATTATGACCGCCTACAAAATTTACGCAAATCAGCTATAATGGCGCACTATTGTCATCAAAGGATGAGACTGATATAAAAAAGGGATTTCTGGATGATTGTACAGACAGTTGTAGGGAGTTGCGTATGAAGATATGGGTAAAAGACATGTTTCAACAGACTTCAGACATGGAATGATTGTGTGCGGCTAGAAGCAGTGGAGCGAGTACAGGTAACCCCCGTATAACACGGCACTTCTATAGCACGGATTCACTCTAACACGGTTCGAGAATTGGTACCATCCCCCGTATAACACGGCACTTCTATAGCACGGATTCACTCTAACACGGTTCGAGAATTGATAAAACCCTCGTACAACAAAAAATGTAATAACAGTTCACGAAAATTATTATTTTCGTGAACTATTAGTACTTAAGTATGTAAATTTTCTTTTCCCGCCTTCTGTCGATGCACGTAGTCCTTCTCGAAACTTGTTTCAATGTTGCCAGATCTCGACGCTTCTGATTTTGGTGTTGCCAGATGTTTTTCCCTTATTCCATACTTGCTTTATTCTTCATAAGTGCTTAGCACCATATAAGGAAATTTATAAAGATCTTTTAACTAGAAGCAAGCAATCTAAAATTACATACTTTTCGCAAAAGGTAAAGCATAGATCTGAAGATAATGAAGAAAAATGCTCAGAGGATAAGGATAACTTGCCAAAAAGAAAACGCTCTCGATTAATAGTGCTTTTAGTGATGACGAAGAAAACATTGTTTAATTTATATTAATATGTATCACTTAAGAAAATTTTAATAAAGATATTTATCTTAATTATGAAAATATAATAGCATGTTTTTTAATTTTTGGAACCTAACCCTCCTTTTCGTACTAGTTCTTTGTTTCGTAATACACGGATTTGCATAACACGGCAATTTTTTGGAACGTAACTACCGTGTTATACGCGGGTTACCTGTATAAACAAAACTGTTTCGCTTATGCAGTGTTCGAGAGAGGCTGTTGTTGTTGTGTACGAAGAGTGGACTACAAAACAAAAAATCTAGCAACGAGTTGCGTAACTTTCCCCGACTTTTATGAGATTTTATTTTAAAAATACCATTTATATTATTAATCAAAATAAATGTCTAAAATTATATGTGGTGCCATCTATTACGAGATTTTGTTATAAAATCTTTATACAGGTTATATTTTTAATTATTATAAAATAGCAGGACAGTTTTGAGGGGAAAGATGAGTTTTATAAAACACTAAATGTCAAGTAAAATCTTCATTAAGTCTGAACCCTCGCGAGATATCTCTATCTCTCCATTCACTTGATCTTTCACAACCAAAATTTAATAGCATCAATGCCCCTTATATACAAGCTACCGTGCCAAATTTCCTTTCTTTATTTTCACCCCGTCCTGAGATATTAAGCGAAATAGACGCCAAAACACACACATACACACATATACATATCCACAGAGTATTTTGCCCTTTTTTTACTTTTTTGGGGTTCAGGGGGTCTCAAAACGTGGAGATTTGGAATTTTGAAAGATTTGGTCATTCAAAAAAAAGAAAAAAAATTTAACTGAGGAATAAATTTTTTAATGGATCTATGTGTCCCAGATAGCCCATATCAAGCCTGTCCCTAACCATTATACACTTTTACTTTAAGTGTTGGCCTATAATGGGCCTGCAAAAACAGTCCTCCTTAACGAAGTGGTAAAAGCTAAAAAATAAATAAAACCCGTTTAGTTTTGAATGTTGTCGTCAATATTTCTGTATGAAGGTGGGTCGTCTCATTACAGACCAGAAAGCAGCTTTCATTTTCGAGCGAAATTTTCGCAGAAAATTAAATACAAATCTTAAAATGACTTCAAATGAAATTCGTAATTATTTTATTTTATAAATTAAAATATCGAGTAAATTTTGAGCATTTTTTAAAAAATATAAAACGACGAACAGCATAACTTCAATGGTTGTTGTTGTTGAATTTAGCTTTATATCACTCGAAAAATTTGTGTAAAATCTGAAAACTGTTTAGGATCAGACGATCTATTTCTTGTAAATTGTCGTAAACGAGTGACAACTTCGAAGAATGGCAAAACTCTTCAAATAACGACATTTCTTGGAATAGGCAATACACAAATAAAACCGCATATTCAAGTCTTTGGCTCTTTTCAATCTTCAATTTATCCAATGCGTTCAGAAAATACGTCATCCGATCATTTGGATGTCGTAAAGTAGACAATAAATTTATTTCTTCCTCTAGATTTTTCTTCATTTCTTCTTTTAATTTATTCATCCCGATCATCCATTCCTTCTCCGTAATTTTTCCACGAGTTGCAACGAAGTATTTCCAATTTTCAAGAGTGGTAACGACCATTTTAGAATCTTCTAAAAGCTTCAAGTCTTTGCACATCTGATTCATTCCCATAAAATCGATATTTTCTGGATGTCTGCTAGAAGCGTATTTATTGAACAATTCCATGCAATCTCTATAGAAGTCTTTCTTCTGATCGTTACGAGAACCAATTAAATCGATAAACGCCACAAAAAATCGCTGAAATGACGAATATTTTTCGAAATTCAATTTGTGTAAAGTATTCATTATGAAAATATAAAGCTTTAAAAGATTATTGTAAAACAATAAGAAATGCAAAGAAGTAAACTTAATTGCTAATCACAGGCGTATTGTATCGCAATAATTTAAAATATTCCTTTATTTCTTAGAAAATAAATTTATTCTTTTTTTAAATATAATGAAATTTAAAATGTTATATAAAATTTTTAAGTAAGATTCGAAAAATAATCTCAATAATTTTTTCTGAAAAAAATATTTTACGAAGAGTGGCAACACTTATAAAAATATTCAAAACGACGATATAACGGACGTAAATATGTACAAATATTTAATTGTATTTAAATATATCTATGCAATTTATATAGATAAAAAGCTTTTTAACTGTATTCTAAGAACTCGAATTTAATATCCTTCTTAATTAAACCGACAACCTTGTTACTATAACATCAAGCATAAAGAGTCTTTTAGAAAGCGAATACAGTATTTATATGGTGTTACTTTACAATAACTGCTACTCATTATCAAGAAAAGACTTCGATTCATCTAAAAATCATATTTCCCTTTAACTGATTTATATATACTTTACTTCAACCGAGAAAACGAGGGAAAATATTCTTAACCTGCCAATGCTATTACCTTTTTTAATAAATTAACGTAAATAATAACGACAACGTTTAAAAAAAGACCAATAAACCAATCAAGAGTAAAATTAGAAATAAAATTTGAAATCGACCAATAGCAAGCGATATCGTAAAATTTTTAAAAGTTTAAATCTTTAATTAGCCAATCAAACTTTGTAATTTTCTATTTATTAATTATTCATTCTTTCTTAAAACTAACGATTTTTTTTCCTTCTTCTTCTTTATTAAATATATAACTTAAATTTCTTAATGTTTGAAACGAATCAATATTTCACATTTTTGTTCGAACGGAACAAGTATAAATATATATAAAAGCTCCAATAAGAGAAGAAGAATCGGGTAGTAGCAGCCGTTAAAACGTTTGCGATTGGTCGATTTCCTTCATTCGTTGGAAGGTTGTTGGACCGACGACATAAAGGATTACTTTACTGTTACAGAAAGAAGCTTATTTGTTAAAGGAGGGATGTTGGCATATTTGTTAAACACGTGAAAACGAACGAGCGTTTTCCCAGTAAGTAAACCAGACTTTAATGTTAATTAATCTACAAAAATTTACAAATTAATCATCATTTTAACGCTAGAAAAATTAATAATTAAATTTAATAAAGAAAAAAATTTATTTTTAAACTATAGGAAAAATTCGCATTTTAATCAGCGCTTGGAAGAACAAATGTAGATTTTTCATCGCATAATCTTATATAGAAAAATAAAGTAGAATGAATATTGAGTAAACACCCGTTAAAATTGATTTTCCATCTTTTGCTTAGTCAATATTTACTTAAACATTTTTTTTTCCCATCTTACAGAATATCCTACTAATTATAGGTTTAACGATGTTGGAATATAATAAACGTTTGCAATTTATCTTGCTTTTCTGCTTTAAGTTTGCTTGCTCTTCTAAATTACATCATCATCTAAACCAGGTAAGTCGATCGACTTTCGGTTAAATTAATCACTCGACTTTAAAAAAAAAAAGAAAGTTGCAATTCATTCTGCCGAGTCGTTAACTGACTTAATGACGTCGGCGAAGTACTTTCAAAAGTTTAAAATCTTATCGTTCAATTAGGATTTCAACTTAGAAGAAGATATCAGCGGGGATATTTACGAGGGAGAAATAACGGAGAGGGGTGAACTGAAAACGGGAGAAAGTCCATTAGCGTTTAGTCAGGAGACTTTAGAAAGATTAGCTTTAAATCCCGATATCGAAGTTAATATAGAAGTTGTAAATGAAAATAATTGGCACGATAAAGAAGACGTGACTAATGATTATAGAAGCGCGGAAACTCCATTTTTGGATTATAGCGGAGAAGCTGAATTAGGTAAAGTCATTTCACATTTTACAACAGAATATATCGATTCTTTTCGTGAAAAAATTATTTCAATTCTGATTTACTTAATTAAAATATAATAAAACAATTCGTTAAGCCGGGTGCACAGTACCTGTATACCTGCGGATGACACGACTCAATTTTTTCCCCATTCCACACGTTCACGTATACCGGTACGTATGTATCTGGCTTTAGTCTTTAATCCTTTATTTTATTTCAATTTAATAACATTTTTCCAAAAAATACGACAGAATAAATCTATCAGAAAATATAACAAATGCACATAAACAGTTCAAAAATCAAAAAAAATTTTAATCAATAAATATTTAATACAGTACTTTAACGTTTATTGATGTGTGTCAAAAAATACAGTAAGTCACGACAAATTCTCTCTTTCTCTCTAAAATTAAAAAAGAAACTCCAGCAACGAGTTGTTTAACTTTTCCGGCAAAATTTAAACTGCGCCTGTGGCGCCATCTATTACGATATTTTATTTTAAAAAGCTTTTATGTTTTTAAGTATTATAAAATGGCAAAAAGGTTAATTTTAGTGTAGGGATAGGTTTTATAAAACATTGTAAATGCTAATAACGAGTAAAATCGTCATTAATTAAGTCCTAACCTACTCGATACACACACCCCATTATCTTCCCACTCCATCGACCTTTAACCACCAAAATTTAATAGCATCGATTCCCCTAATAAACGAAAATCCCTGCAAAATTTCAGAAATTTTCGACAAAAAGCACAGGAGTTATTAAGCTTCAAACAGAGTGAATAAAGTCTTGTCCCCACACTAACATCCATACATACAGAAAACCCGAATTTGTTTGCATTTCTCGATATTTCAAGGTGTCCTGAGCACAAAAATGTAAAAATCTTGGGTTATCATTTTTTGAGCGATCGCCATACTTTTTCTCTGTTATATACGTATAATAGCCGGGGGAAAATTCACTCTAATTTAACTAATTCTTTCTATTTTAATTTATATTGTATTTGCCAATTTAGTAAAAACAACACTTAATTATTTACTTTTCACAAAAAACATTTTGTAAAAAGTTGCATTAATAAAGTATTATTATTTCTGTTACAGTAACAGAACTACCCGAAAAGTTTCGTACGGAAAAACCACCGAAAAATCATCACAATTCGAGAACGAGCAGCGAACATTCGGGTGAGTAGACTTAAATTGTTTAACCATAAATTTCCAGTGTTAACATTAAGATTCATTTGTACAGATGACGATCCCTGCGATACTTGGATCAACTGCAGGAACGAATTTCTTCAATTGTACCTTCGACAATTAAAATACCTGCCGAAATGTCCGTGTTTATATCCGGCGGATATTCTGTATAACGACAAGATATGGGACGTCACCACTTCAAAATACAACAGGTGGAGAGATGCGAGTGGAGATTCGGAAAAGTTATTCGTGTACAAACCCGGAGCGGTTTATTGTATCCGTTCTGTAGTAACCAGCGGGAAGACGGGTTTAGCCGCTCAACACTGTTGTTACGACCAAAATAGGAAGCTGTTAACGAGAGGGAAAGGAGCCGGAACTCCGAATTTAGTCAGTCCCGACGTATCCAAGCTTTTACATTACGAAGTGGACATTAAACCGTGGATCGTATGTAAAGGAGATTGGACTAGGTATGGACTTTAATCGTTTTTAATGGAGATTTACGTACTAATCGATTTTTTTTTCAGATATAATCGAGCACGTCCGCCGGATAATCGAATGAACTGTACGGAAAATCCGGACGACGAAGAGTACTCGATACAAGCGAAGAGAGCCAAGCACTATTAGCGCCATCTATCGATCGGCGGCGTAATTATAATATTTTTTTTCTGGACTTTTGTGTAATTTATTTATTTTCAAATTGAAAATCGCCGGGAAGTGCGATCTGTTTCTCTCAAAAAATATATCTGTACAGAGAAATTTATTAATTCTTGTTTAAAATAAACATTTTAAAATATTTTTTCGAGTCGATTTTCACGTATTTCCTTTCTGTTTTCCGAGACTAAATTTATTTAGTAAATAAATAAAAAAAAATAAAAAAAATGGAGTCTGGATCGGGACCGGGATTATTCTAAGTGTAAGATAAGAAGTGCGCAGAATCGGAAAACATCGATCAGCAACTGCAGCAGCATCGGGATCGGCGCCGCCTATCAAGGACGACTTTTCTGGTACGCTCGAAACTCTAACCAATCTGATATTTTGTTATTTTGTTTAAAATCGGACTTAGCAATATCGGAGCCATAGTGTTGGGAGAATCTCGTCACCGTGGCAAGATTGCCACCATCCCTACTACGAGCAGCAACATGAATACGGGAGGCGGAGGAGCGGGAGGGGGGATGATGATAGGAGGGATGCAAGGAGAAGGAGGCGAAATACGTTTCCTGGGAGAGCAAAACAAAACCAAGATATACAAAAGCAAAAAATACAGGAAAATCATTCGTTTAATGACAGTTATGGGTTACGTTTTTTCCGTTTCCTTAGCCGCCATCGTTTTGTCTCTGTATTACGTTCTGTTGTGGGATCCCGATATGAAGACTCCCAATCAGACTGCCACTTCTTCGCCCCCCTGTGCTGCCACTCAGAACGACAGAACGACATCCGATTTGAATCTGACACCTGCCACAGCCTCTACTCCTGCTGCCGCTAGTGCAAACTCCAAGGATACAAGTGCGGAATTTGGAAATTCCTCTTCGGATGATTGGTCAAATAACGGGACATCCGGATCTTCCGAAGTATACGCTTAACCAGATGGGTGAGTACGCTACTTCCTTATTTGGAGTTGTTTGCATTCGTCCACTTTGTTTACATTATTCGTTTTCTATCCGTTTGCCATTACGTGAATAAGCTTGCTTGCTTTTATATATATATCAACTTTCTCTAATTAATTGCTTCTATTTTCTTTTTTATATAATTGTTTTCCTCTCCATGCATTCGTGTTATACAGGAAAGTGTTGCGTAAATAAGAATTTTCCTTCATTTATTAGCTAAAATCATCAGTTTACCAAAAATAACCCAACAGAATAAGACTTAACGTTTTATAAACAATTCTTTCTTGGAAACATTCCAAATTGCAAACATCTTAATTCTGTTATATCCATTAGAAAGATTGGAAACACTTCTTAAATATTTATATTTTCTCTTAAAACAAAAGAGTGTAACTAGTTTTAATATTTTTTGAAATATTTTACTGTAACTATTCTTTTAGGAAACTTTTGAATGTGCAAGAAAACCGAAGTGAAGTAATGTATTTATTAGCTCTGCGGAAGACAGTACTTCACGGCTCTAGAAAGCATGAAGCTTCTATACTTAAGCTACAATGTAGGAGCCAAGTTGTGCCAAAACTTACGAGTCCGCACATGGATTCTATTGTAGATTAATTTAAGTCTAATGTAAGCTAATTTTGCAAATACCCAACTATGGAAATGTCCTTCTAATTTTACTCGGTTCTTGTAAAATTCCCAAGAGAGTGGCGAACTGTGGAGATGAATTATTATTTGTGAATAAATATTACAATATAATTTTCACACATTTGTCATTCCATAAGATTTTTTTATATATGTTATAAAATATTTTACTATGTTTAACTGTGCTCAATTGCTTTCTCTCATGTGGTTTTATATAATGAATGTTAATATTGAAAGCCACTGCCTTAAAAAAGTGTAATTTTAAAAATATTAATAATTAGGTGTTTGAAACAGAAAAGAAAACAGATTAAAAATTAATTAATCAATTGTTATAATTTGAAAACAATCATTATAAAATTACAATTTTCCTAGTAAAAAATAAATTATTTATGCAATTTATATATTAAAATTTACAAAAATTATTGTAATTCTTAAAATTATAATAAAATGCTTTTAAATATTGAAAAAATTAAAATTACTTACAAGTTAATAATAAAATATTTTTACCTTGCTTGATTATTACAAATTTCACTATTATCTACAAAAAATAGCTTCAAAATAATAGTTCTCAGCATAATTAAATTTCCATTGTATGCTTTATTTATTGTTGATAAAATTTCCTGCTAAATAGTAAAGTAGCATATTATTATTATTATTTTTAATTTCAGAAATGTATTTATACATTACTTCTTATTGAAAGCATTAATTCAAAGTATATTTGCCTACAGTAACAATGCAATGTGTATAAATGAATGTATTTTAATGTAAGGTAGGGTTTCTCAAACTGTTATGATCTAAGCGATTTAAATATTAGTAGATACATGTGTTTAATTTAATTAGAATTAACATAATCTAAATCAGCCTTTATAATAGGAACAGTAGATCAGTGAATTCTAAACAAATTATTACTGTAACCATATGCATTGTATAAATATGTCTTTCAAACCACTCTTGATGTTTTGTAGATAGAAGCATCCCTTCAGGAGTCACGCGTCATCATAAAGTTTGAGAATTCTTGACCAAAAATAATCAATGTTTATGTGTAAAGTAGTCAATGTGCCATAGTTTTATTAAAAAAAAGCTTCATCGGTGTTAAACAAATTATAAATAGAATTCTGACAATCTTAAAATAGCTGATGAAAATAATATATGACTAATATTTATTTAATTTAGCATTCTTTGTATAAAATTTCTTGATATTCAAAAGTTTAATCTTATATGGAAAGTTCAGAGATGTATTTTGTCTATGTAATTAGAAATGTGATGAAAACATGGCCTTGTTAAAAAATTAGAAAGTAAACTGTTTAAATCTTTATTGAAATTATTTTGTTTTTATATCAAAATGTTTCAGTTTTATATTGTACATATCTTTATAAACGTTCATGTTGTTAATTGTTATAAAAGAAAAATAAAAACAAGTTTAAATTATTTTTATTTTTCTTACCAAATTCACTTTTATCTTTATATTATTTAATATCAATAACTGTAGAAATTAAGTTTTAATTTATGTAAAATTACAAAATGTTTGTTCAACTTTACAATTTAAAAATTTGTAAAAAATTATAAAATTATTAGAAACAATGTATTTTACAAAAATATACATCTACTCTGTTAAACGTGTGATGTGTTCGTAGGCAGCTTTCAAGAGAAACACAAATGTGTGATTTTCAGTGAGACATCCAAGTTCTTCATTACTTAAAAATAATTCAATAGATGGAAGCAATTCAAATAAATCAGCCCCTGTAGAAAAATTATTTTTATGTTTATTAGATAAGATTACTACGAATTAAAAGAAAGAAAAAAAAAATAGACAAACCTTGCGTGAATGCTAATTCAACAGTTCGAAAAAAAATTGTGTCTTTGATAGATTCTAGAGGATTGTTTGTATCTAGATCTTCCCATCTGTATCAATAAACAATATTTAAGTTAAATGTGTTAAAATATTGTAATTAAAATAATGTGTTTAATTTTAAGTGCATTTTATATAAATAAATTTCAAAAGATATTTTGTCATTGATTTTTTTTAGTATATGAATAACAGATTTAATTAAACACACAAAATGGATAAATACAGTTGAAGATAAATTAATTTTGATCATTCATTTTATTATTAAAGTGTAAATTATTTTAAAATTTATACTCTAAATTCTCAAACATTCATTACATATCTGTTTTAAAGCAGCAATATAATTATGCTAAAAACGATATTTTTAATTTAAATTCAATAATTAAAAAAAAAATTAAATTAAAAAAACTACTTACTTATCCCTCAAAATTGCTCGAATCCAAATATGAAGCTTAATGCTTTCTATATCATTGGATGACTAATAAAAAAATATTTTATTAATTATTAAAAATTGACAAATTATTCTAACTATTCAAGACACTTATTTAATAAAAAATATCTTAAAATGTAATTCAATAAAAGTATATGTATATGCAGCAGTAAAAACACACTATCTTGAAATGATCATACAAGGACTTTTTTTTTACTCTTTCCGCCTTGTGGGCACTAAGAGAGACTTATTTAGCAAGCCCATTATGGGTTTGGCCAAGCCTGCAATGGGGCGGCCAGGTGCTGAGGGATGGGGCTGACATATCCGGTTGGACCACCCCCAAGAAATTCCTGGGAATTTTTTGATCCGTCTGGATTCGATCACGGGTCCCCAGGAGTGGTAGGCTGCCACCTTGACTGCTTGGCCATCCGCCCATCATCATACAAGGACTAGACCTAAGCTGTCGACTTATGAAAAACAGAAAAATATGACAGTCTCCATATATACTTCATATGCAATGTCTATTTTTCTATACAAAAATACAATATAGTACTATAAAAGATCTTATTCTGTACAGGACTGTACTATTGTAAATCAAAATTACAATATGGATATACACTTTCACTTTTTTCAAAAAACTAGTTATATGTAATGAAATAACCCACAAAAATACCCAAACTAGTAAAATTATTTAATAATATGAACGTTTTCATTCATTACCCACAAATACAAGTTATTTCATTACAATACATACAGAAATAAACATATAAGACTATAAATTTCAATTATTGAACAGAAAAGAATAAGTTAATTGTTATATGTCTTTTTCTGCTGTGAAAATTTGTCCTCTATTGCCAAAATATCAATCAACATACAAGGGTATTAAATTTCCTCTATTTTTGGAGGGATGGAATAATTATCTATAATCAATAATATGGACCTTGTCTTTTTGATGCATATTCTTGTCAATACTTCTATCCTATTCTCCGAATACTGGCTTGTCATCCATGCTGATTGATTTGCTTTCCAAATTATAGGCATCTTCATGCTTTTGAAGGCATGTGCTTTACACATTTCAAAAGCATGAATATATCCAATACACAGAAATATATCCAATTAAAATTACAAAGTTAAAATTGGAACTGGCGGATCTTACAGATGTCTTTGTTTTTCTTTCCATCTGGGGATTTTCAGGCTTTATATCTACTGAGGAAAATGTGCTGATAAATGTAGATTGTTGTAGCTTCCCTCTGGTGACAAATCTTTGCAGAAGTTTCAATTGTAGAATTTCGTCGGATGGCAATTTTACAAATGTTAATTTGAAGATATGGTCTGTCCAAAATTGATAACCACCATTTATTCACTTCTTGTGTTCAAACAACTGATGACCCGACCTTTTTTTAATTGGATATTTTTCTGTTTTTTAAAGGAATGTTTTTAAACTTGACAGCCAAGCAGCCTAAAAAGAAAGGTCAGGTCTTCAATTGTTTGTATTCTGGAACACAAGAAGTGAATAAATGATGGTTACCAATTTTGGACAGACTGTGTCTTCAAATTAACTTTGGTAAAATTGCCATCTGACAAAATTCTACAATAAACTGATATATTTATAGTATTCTTATTAATAGATATTAAACAAAAATTTGTTACAATTTGTTCATTTCTTTTATTTATTAAATAGGAATACTTTACATTGCCAAACTATTTACTTGTAACTGGTAAAGTTAACAAAAAAAATGTTTGTACTTTCATTCTTATGCAAAACAAAAACAATTTTTAATTAAGTTAACAGCATCAAGAATGCAACCAAGAATTCTTTCATCTATTTCTTGTTCACAACTTATTGGTACATTTTTTTAATAAAAAAATTTTCTTTCTTTCTTCTCAAGTTGCTATCAAATTTTTCAAAATCATCTAATTCAAACAATTTTGATAATTTTGTCTTAACATTAAAAAAAAAATCAATAAATCAATTATGCCAAGTATTAATTTTTTACATTTGAATTACGAATATTAAAAGTGATTAAATAAAGTTTCAAGATATTTATAAATAATTTTTCTTCTTCTAGTGTAAATGTATGATTTGGAAAAAAACGGGTTTTTATGGATTAACCCCCCCTGCATTTTGCAGAAATTTGCCAAATGTGAGGAGATATTGTGATTTAAGAGTAAAATTGAAACATTGTTTACTTTGTTTTTGATCATTTCAGTCATTTATTACATCACAGCCTACTTATATGCGTATGCACTTATGGTAGGGATGAGTCTGGGTTTTTCTTAATTGCAACCAAGACGGTTGCAATTAAGAAAAACCCAAGTTTTGAAATAAGAATCCATTTTTTCATTTCAAAACTCTTTTTGGCATTATTCAACAAGTGAAATTTCATGTCAGCTTGAATTAAAATGAAATTTTTACTTGAAAATACATACATATTTTTATGTGTTTTCAAGAAAAAAATCTTTTTGCAAAAAATTGATACATTTCTTTAAATATTTCAGAAAAGATTTTTCCATTTTTGGATATGATAAAGTCTGTTAATTAGCACCCTGTGCTAAAAATAGATCATTCATGGTGTCGGCAACTACTTATGTTGATTAATAGAAATAAAATTTATTACATCAAGTTTATAATTGTATACATTATTCTATGATAATGAAACCTTCTTAAACTAAAACATTTTTTTTTAATTAAAAAAGTGTTTGTGTTAATTTATTGGTTTAGTTTTGCATGGCAAATAAACAATAGGTCTATTTAATTATTAAATGATTGAATTTTCCAAACAGTGTAGTGATAATCATTAATTCATTCATAAATTGTTGTTTTGTTTTGCATGCAATAATTTTTTGGTTCAATAAAATATTCTGCACCCCCGAAGCACCTATTCAAAAAATCAAAATCAAAATTTATTTCAAAACAACCAAAATGATTACCCAAAAATATTATAATTGTACTTTTTGCTAATTTCATTATATTAAAGCATTTACAGTACTTTTTATCAGTGTTTCTTTCAGAAAACATTTTCTCGGAGGGTAGTTTCCTGATCTGAGGAGGTGACAAATACAATTTATATAGACATACAGGATAACCCATATTAATCAATTCACTGAAATATCTCAAAAAATATGCACTTTACAAAAAATCACTGAACCAAAAATGTTAGACTTCTATGGGGCTGTAAGATGGGGCTATCCATTTCATCATGGATGGCACTACAATTGGTTTGTTTGTTTGTTAAGTTATGGCACTTGGGTGACCTGCCTTCCAGGAGGTCTTTTTAAGAAAAACTGGCCTCTATTAAGGCATTACAGACATGAAGAAAACATGGAAAACTCCACATGGCTGGCCCATCTAAGCAAGGTGCGAATCCACACTGAACTCCCAGTGTTCAGGTACGAAGACCACTTGGCCACCGGTGGGCATGCTACAATTGGTGAAAATGGAGTTAACTTTATTTTCTTAAATTGAAACCCACATTTTTAACCTGCATATTATGACTCTACATCAAAAACAAATTTATCTAAAACATTTTTTTGAAAGATGCACTTATCAAAAGTTATGAGCATTTAAAGCAGGGGTGTCAAACTCAAACTCCTTAAGTGCCAATTTTTTGTCTCAAGTATGATAGTGGGCCAGATTAAAAATAAAATGCAAATGTAATACGAAGTATAAATAAGTATACAAAGAATGATTTTATTAAAGAAAAAAAATTACAATTTTTTTAAGTAGAAACGTATTAAGCCAAAATATTATTTTGAGTATCCAGAAACTCAACTTCTTCTACGCTTCATTAACTCCTCGATGTTTGGTGTCAACGATGTTGTATTGATTTTCAAAATGGAATGAAGATGTTCATTCCATTCACATCTGTAAGTCTTGAATGGTATTTACATGTATTAATCTTCATTGTTGAAAACAACTGTTCACACACATATGAACTTCCAAACATGCATAAAATGCACGCAGCATGGTTCCTTAAGTTGGGATAGCTATTTTGATTTTTGAAGTACTTTGTATGAAATGCCAAAATGTCAACTTCATTGAACTTGCTTTTTAAAGCAATATCACACTGCAAATCTATTAGTTCCATTTGCAAGTAAGTCAATGCTTTACCAACATTGAACGTAAACAGATCATTAAAAAGAGGAAAGTCGTAGGTATTGAGCTTGAGAAAATCTGCAAAACGACTATCAAATTCAGCAAGAAGATCAAGCAAATAATAAGAAAAATTTGCTAATTTATCTGCATTGTACATGCTGATTTCATGAATGCTAGGGAAATGGTCAAGTTTTTGTTCTTGCAGCTGCGATTCCCACAACTATAATTTTATTTTGAAAGCTTGAACACTTGAGTACAGTTGCATAACAATTACATTTTTCCCTTAAAGTTTAATGTTCAAATTATTCAAGTGTTCCATCATATCTACAAAGAATGCAAAGTCAAGCCACCATTCATCACTGTGTTCCATCGGTTTGCCCTTTTGAGCCGTAAACATAACATGTTTACACAATTCGAAAAATCATTTAAGCATTGATCCATGACTAAGTCACCGTACTTCTGCAAAGTAGGGAATATCTGAACATTTTTCATCAAAATCATTTAAAAATTGTGTGAATTGGCGGTGATTTAGTCCTCTACTTTTAATAAAATTAACTGTTTTAATTATGGGATTCATTACATGATCCATTTTCAGCACTTTAGAGGCCAAGACTTCTTGATGTACAATACAGTGAATTCCAATGAATTTGGAATTCACTGTATTGTACATCATTTCATTTAAAATTTCATTTAAAATTTTGTTACATATTTTTGTAACAACACCAGCATTTTTACCGACCATAGATGGTGACCCATCTGTGGTAATACTGAAGAATTTACTCCAAGTCATAATTTGGTAATAATTGCTCAATTGCTGAGTAAATATCTTGAGCTGTGGTAGTACTCTTCAATGGTATGCACTGCAGCAACTCTTCTGTGATGTTAAAATCTTCATTAATTCCACGAATAAATACAGCAAATTGTGATGTATCGCTGATATCTGTACTTTCATCGGCTGCTAAGGAATACAAGATAAATTCTTTAATTTTATGTTTAAGTTGAAAGTACAAATTTTCTGCCAATTCATTTACTCTGGAAGCAATTGTATTTCTAGTCAGGGGTAGTTCTTGAATAACTGTGATGGAATGAAATGTCGGCCACATCTAGCATACATTCTTTTAAAAATTTGCCATCACTAAAAGCTTTTGATTTTTTTTGCAATCTTTAGTGCAATCAAATAACTAGCTTTCAACACATTCTCACTGTCAGTTTTTGATTTTTTAAAAAATGATTGCTGCCCCATAAGTTTAGTTTTCAAAGATGCAAGTTTTTCTTGCCTAATTTCGTTGGTAAATAACTCAAACTTGTCTTCATGATTGTCTTTATGTAAATTGTCTTTATGATTCATTTCATAGTGTCTTTTCACATTAAATTCTTTACAAATGGCAATAATCTTATTGCAAATCAAACAAAGTGGTTTACCATTCCATTCAATAAAAAATACCAAATTTCCCACTTTGGCTGGAAAAATTGGCACTTACTATCAACTTTTCTTTTTACTGACATTATTTATTGAAAATTTTTAACCATTGCAGTTTATTTGACCAAACTCACTCACCAATAAGAAAACGCAACAAAGTCTCTAATTACGGAAGTGTCTTGAATACTGAACAACGTTGCCAGATTATTTTAGCTTTTGTGGACAAAAATTTTCTAAAAAGTAGCCCAAAAGTGTCCGAATCAAAAAATTAATTTTTAATAACCCAAGATTTGACAACCAAATAAAAAAAACAACATTAGTACTTTTCCAGCAAAAATAAATAGTCTTGTTTAGATGGACTTTGAAGTTCAAAAGATGAAATAGAGAAAACATAATGTAAACAAGAAATTAAACACAAAAATAAATCAAATAAAATTAATATCTCTAAGTAATATGAATAAAATAAAAATAATAATAATTGACTTCAACAATTTTGTTTATAAAGTATTATTTGTTTAAATACAAAATATCACATTTTCTTAAGTATCAACATAATAAAAAGTAAACAAATAGTATTATTGAATTAATGTCGGGGGCCGCAACTAATTGCCTCGAGGGCCATGGGCCGTATATTTGACATCCCTGATTTAAAGTTTTATGTGATCACTGTATAGTTTACTCACGAATGTGTGAAGGGATATAGGTTTTCCTAATTTGACTTTAAAGACAATGGGCCATCAGTGGTATTGGAGTTATAAGTATTCTGATTTTATTGATGCTGAGTTGATTTTGTGAAATTAATTAAAAAAAAAGAAGAAAATTGCTAAAAAAAATCATTAGGAAACTATTTTGAAGAATCATTCTTTTTCTTCAAATAACAAACTGATACAAAAACTAGTCCACGGTATATTAAAGCCATCAACTTGTGGCAAAGAGATGTGGATTTTGATTTGACCAAATATTCACAGATGAATGACAATTTAAATGAATGCTACTTACTTTCCTTCACTTAGAATAACAATTCACATTTAAATGTTGTAGGCAAAACTTGTTGTTATCGTTTTTAGGTGTATGATTGAATGTAATTTTGTTTTTGTTTGAGAAAATGCATATTATTCAACTGTGGAATGAACTCAGACTCAATGTAGAGGATGAGATTTTGGTTGTGACTGTTGCAATGTTAGTGTCAAAAAATAAGAGATTGGTTGCATCCAATAAATACTGACAGATCAGTATTTAGTGAATTTCATCAACTAATGCCTCAACTTCTGGCCAATGAAAAGAGCAAGAGCAATGCATACAATGCTTCTGATGGCTGATGAAAATCTATACAGTTTGATCTGCATTTTAACACATGTAACATGTGGCTGATGCTCTCTGTTATCAGCATACGTCAGCAGACATCAGCATAATGTAAATGCTCTGATAAAGGAAAACTGACTCATGCATCTTTATTCAAATTTAATAAAGATGAAAATTCTTTAACATACAATATAATTTCAAAATAAAAGTACGTAAATCTTTAGTTAGGATTGATGAGAATATTAATACATATAACAATTGCAATAAATAATGATAAATATAATGTACATAGTATATTATATGTAAAAAAAAAAAAATGAATGAAATCTTAAAAGAATTTTTGACAAATTTGAATACTCTTCCTAAAGTTGAAAAGTTACTAAAAATCATTTTTAAATTGGAAATATAATTTATCACATATAAAAACTAGACTGTTTAAACAGGTGGACTACCTTTCGCATGGAAATTCTACCTAAAAGAAAAACTAAAACACAAAAATTCTTAGCCCACATCTGCCCTATACATTTCTGTGTATTTGTTTCATTTCATCTTATTTTATTTTACATGTGTTATTTTATTTTATTATTTACATTGTTATTATATTAGTTCATTTAGTATATTTTGTTTTATTTTATTATTTATTTGTTAATTTATCTAGTATTTTGTTTTAAATTTAAATGTAAAAGTGTTTGAATGTTCTGTCATTTAAATGTTATGTTAAATATGTTCAAATTTCTATTGCATCTGAAGATGGCCCATCATATTGGGTTGAAAACATTAATGTCTGTTAAATAAACAGTTCTCAGCATTAGGTGTTGGATGATTCATTAAGTAAAAAACTAGAATTTTACCATATTAATGTTTCTAGACAAGTTAACTCATGTATTGATAGAGTTAATATAAAATTTTTATAATTTGCATATTATGTAACAAATTTATTTGCTCTCTGTTAAATAGCATATTTCCTGTAAATTAAATGGCCTTTATAGACACAATGGTTTCTATAAAGACACTGCATGCATAGTCTACAGTAGTCTTTTCAAACTTTTCTAGCAAGAGACAGAGTTTTCAATAATTTTTCTCGAGTCTTATCTCAAATGTATAAATATGTTGAAAAAATTTCTAATCACAACTAACATCTTTTTTGCACAATATTAAATAATAAGATATTTTCTTTATGTAATACTAATTCTAAAAATATGAAATTTATTATTTTTTTACTATTCTGTATTATAACTTTTAAAATTTTTACAGTCTGGTATTTTTCCATAGACTGATACTAAATCATGGACCATGCTTTTTGAAACATAGATTTACAACTTATTTCATGATCACAACTTCCAATCATATACAGTATTTAATACTATCATAAATGTTAACAACAAATTTGAATATATTACTTATTTTATAAAATCTCAGAATTTAATTAATTCTCATATTTAAAATTACCTGAAAAAGTTTATAATTGGATGTAACCTAATATATGCAAATAATAAAAAGATAAAACTTATACTCTATAAAATTTTGATCAGAGATCACTAACTTTGTTGCATTCAAAAGTTACAATGAACAGTATTTTTTACTACTCTTTTATTGTTATTTGAGTAAATCCCAACTTTTAGACCATAAACTATTTCTATTAACCCATATTATGATAGCTAAGTGGCCAGGTCATAAGATATAGGCTTACTACTTTGAGAAACCCAGAGTTCAAGTCTGTATCAGGAACCCTAACAATTTCATAGATAAACTGTTCTTCACTATCTGGCTGATCCCATTGTGGCCTAGTTAAACTTATGATGGGTTTGATTAAAAAGATGTCTTAGAGCTCACAGGTGCAAAAAGATTTCAAAAATAAAAAAATCCGTATTATTTTTATTATTTCAAATAAAGTTTTTATCATTTGAAATTATAAAAATAATATGGATTTTTTAAAGTTATAGGAATATGTAAAATAAATCTAAGTGCATATTGGAAAAAATTCAGTCAATAACAAGAGTACTTACCGAAATTACAAATGAAACTAAATCCAAAGCTTTCTTAAAATCATATTCATTTGCACCAGAGTTCTCATCACATACATACATCTATAAATATTTTTAATTTATGCGAGGAAGTCTAAATTTTTTTCGGTATTTGATAAAAACTTAATGCAGTGACACACTAGGCGATTTTTGTGGGAGACGTCACCNCTATAAGTTCTTTTGGAGTTAATACTCTCATCCTATCAGGATCAAGATCAAATGCCTAAAATAATTATTTAGAAAGTTCTATAAATATTTATAAGAATAATAAACGTAATTTAATACTGATAGCAAAAATATATTACCTTTATTACATTTTGTGGTAAAGTTTCTTGATATAAAATTAAATCTTGGTCCATATTTATTGCTATGAAGTAGAAATTTACATATCAGTATTTTGATTAAAAGTTAGGTCATAAAAAACTTATTAATTTTGTAAAATTTCAAATGTAAAACTAAACATTAAAATAATATTAATACATTATTTGGAAAATAATTTCCAGTTTAGAAAGAAATAAATCATTTAATAATGAATTACATCATGAGAAATGAATTAAAACTAAACAAAATAAATCATAATCATCAAACAATTTAAATAAATACATATAAACCTCTATAAATACATATATACAAAATAAACCTCTTAAACCCAATATTATTAATCAAAGCCAAACAATTGCTAACATAAGTACTAAGTTATTTTTGTACAACTATTAATAAATAAATTATTAAGTAATTTGATATTAGAGGTAGGCATCAGGCACCATCTCTTATTAAATTTAATAATTATAATACATTAATATTTTGTTAAATAATTTAGAATATTCTGGAAGAATAGGATCAGCCCAAAGCAAGACTCAAACCCGAAACTCCTCCTTATTGTGTGGATGCATTGCTAGTTACGTTATCCAGACACAGCAATTCTTCACTTCTAGACATATTTAATTCTTGATATAACCATCCACAGTTACTCTCAGACATAATTACTATAAAATACAATAAAAATATTTAAGTAGCACAAAAATAACAGGACACATTATGGCAATTGTTTGGCTGTAATATAAATAAATCTGTCAATACTCATAATATTCAATACAGTAATACCCCGAACTTACGCGATAGGTGGGACCAAACGATAACCGCGTAAGTCAAATTCGCATAAGTCGGGGTATAATTTCCCAATCTGTGTAAAATCCAAGTCAGATGTATGTAAGCTAATGAATGTTCTCATTAATCTTGTCTCGTCTTTTGATTCGTTTACAGTTACAAAAAATCACCACATAGATGTCTCTCAAGTCTCCGTAGATATAACAAACACAGAAATAAATAACACAAAATAAATTGAAGTTATGTGTCGATTCCACGCGACATGTCCAAATATGTAAGCTAAACAATAGTGTGGGGGGAGTCAGTAATCAAGAGTTGCGTGGCACTCAAACAAGAGACGAATCGACGAAATTTGAAAATCGCGTAACTTCGGGTTTGTGTAAGTTGAGGTATTACTGTATTACAAAAAATAGCTATTTTTCTGTATTTATCGAGTCATATTATATCTTAATTAATTAATTAAATTTAATTAATGATTTAAACTTAATACATACCAGCTAATTGCACATCTTTGATATCTGGACTTTCATTACTTGTTAAAGCTGCTAATTTACTAAGACTAAGAAGTGTCTGAAAGATGGTTAAAATTTACTTATGTTTATAATCAAAGAAGCATCACAAATATGTATAATATATTAATGAAAAATGAATATTTTGATTACTTATTCCATAAAAATTTGGGAAGTCTGATTTATTTCAAAAAAACTTAGTACCATAATCAATATTCCAAAATAAAATGTTAAGTTACAGAAATCAAAATACCTATTGAAAAATAAATGTTTCTGGACTGCAGTAGAGCGTCATTTATCCGAAAGCTGGTTATCTGAAACGTCCGTTATCCGAAAGCATTCCAGTCAGCAAATTTAAATTTTCGCTAGTGCTGTGGCGTTGCAATTCGGCTATTTTTCGGGCTACTCAAATATTTTACGTTTTTGATACTAAATTAACATCTGAAGTATAATTTTTTATTGTTTTTATATTTTTCAATAAATTTATTTTGTTTGTACAAAATAAAAAAATAATTTTTAACGATACAATAGTCTTTGTTAGGCTTAACATCGACGAAAATTCAACGCGAAGCGACATGCAACGGATAAAAATTTCAATATCGGATACGTTAAACTATTTTTTCGTGGATAATCGGTTATACGAAATATCAGTTATCCGAACAACCCCAGTCCCCAATTGATTCAGATAATCGACGCTCTACTGTATATATTTTAACCTCTTCAAGTCATCTGTGATTCATATTTATTTTTTTTTTGGAATCTCTTTTCTTCATTTCTACATCTTCATCGGTATGGCCAAATTTTTGTGTCTGGAAGAGGAGGCAGACATCGAAGAAATTTTTCAGATGTTCTATCGGATGACGAGAATACTATTTTATCTTCCTCCGAATCCATTTGTCTGACAAGGAAATGTTTGGCATGGGACATATTATTCCCAATCGATCTAGTACAGGATCCAGTGGATTGCATGGACTTTCGTTTGAATCGAAGATGCATCTACTTTCAATCCGAATCAGTGGGGTTATAACAAAAATGAATTTTCGTCCAGCAGTATTTTCGTTCTATCGTTTACTTACAAACGGCAATATCTAAACAACAGTGCATGAAACGTATAATACTTTCTGCATTAAAGAAAAAGCATTACTTTCATTCAACAAATCACTGAGAAAGGAAGCATTTGGTGTGATGTGGACGGTATTTGTTTTTTCAGTTCCATATACCGGTAATAAATTAAATTTNGTACAGACAAATATGGGGCCTGTAATGATGGTGCCACCTGTGTCCAAATGGCGGACAATGATATAGTCAGCTATGTGTGTGTGTGTGTGTGTGTACTTAATCAGAAATACAGTGAGTAATTGGTTAACAAACATAATCCATTCCAAGATTTTGTTTGCTATGCGAACTGTTCATTAACTGATTATCAATTTACCATAGGTTTTTATGGGAATTTGATTAATTCATTCTGAAGGACCCAAAAAATAAAAAATATATACTTTTTTACTAGATTTATTTATATGTAACTAGCAGATAAGCCTGGTGTTGCTCGGGCAAAAGGTAATGATAGCAAAGATTAAGATTATTACATTACAGCCAATCTTACCCATTTTCACAGAATGCAAGAATTAGGTTTCTGTTTCCAGACTAATTAGAAAATTTTTAGATGAGTCTAAAAATACGAGGGTAGGCTGAAAAGTAATGCACACATGCTTGTAGAGCATGAACGAAATGATTTTCAGAAGTGCACCAGGTGGAATATGAAAGTAACATTCCTCCTCTATGCGCATGCACAGTTTGAGGTTGTTATGTTCAGTCAATATATTTTGAGAAGCAGAAATATGGAGATGTGTTCTAGTGCTATGTCAACGCGAGTTAAACAGCATGCTGTTATTGAATTTTTAACTGCTGAAAAAGTGACTCCTACTGAGATTCATCGTCGTTTAAAGGCTGTTTATGGTGATGATGCTGTTGATAGGTCTACTGTAAATTGATAAATAATAAAATTTTATGATTGCGAGCCTGGAAAAGCAATAATTGTTGATGAAACATGCAGCAGACATCCGATCACTGCCATAGATGATTACCGTTGCCCTTCATTGCAATGTTTAATTCTTCTCAGTACATACAGACTCTAAAACACCTCCGACATGTTAGAGGCAGCCTGGTGCCAATAATCTTGCAACATGACAATGCTCATCCACACACCTTGCGTGCAACTGGAAAGGCTCTGCAAAACCTGAAGTTTGAACCAATTCCACACCCTCCTTATTCCCCTGATCTTGCACCTTGCAACTTTTATTTTTTTCCTCTACTCAAGAGAGACCTCAAGGGTGATCATTACACCTTGGACAATGAGGTCAAGTCCTGGATTCGAGAAAAGTCAAAAGAATTTTTCAGTGACAGAATGAAAAAACTTGTTATACGTTGGGAGAAATGTGTTAGCCTTAACGGTGACTATGTTGAAAAATAAATACAGTAGAGCGTCGTTTATCCGAATCAATTGGGGACTGGGGTTGTTCGGATAACTTATTTTTTGGATAATTGATTATGTACGAAAAAATATATTAACCTATCCCACGTTGAAATTTTTCTCCGTTGCATGTCGCTTCACATTGAATTTTCGTCAATGTTAAACCTAACAAAAACTTTTTAAAATAATAATCATGGCTATTGTATCGCTAAAAATTATTTTTTTATTTTGTACAAACAAAATAAATTTATTGAGAAATATAAAAACCAAAAAATATATACTTTAGAAGTTGATCAAGTATCAAAAACGTTTGATTCAGCACAACACAGTCCTCAGAAAAACACCACACAAAAGTGCCAGTGCTGCCAGCTAAAACACACACACCAACAAAAAAAATATTGGAGTAGCCCAAGATATAGCCAAAGATTGCAGCGCCACAGCACTAGTGAAAATTTAAATTTGCCTACTGGAATGCTTTTGGTTAACTGAAGTTTCGGATAACCGACTTTTGGATAAACGATGCTCTACTGTATATGATTTTGAAGCTTAAGAATTGTACTTTAATGTACTTTTTGCCCGATCTTGCTATTTGTTTTTGTTCAGGTTCTACAAGCACGTGTGCATTACTTTTCAGCCTACCCATGTATGTTTGATTTTCTGCAAAAACAAAAAAAACCCACCTCTGCGCCTGTAAATCTTGCACGTTGCTTTCTCTTAACACTTCCATTGTTAACATTTCCATTCTTAACACTTTCATTGTTGAAGCCTTAATCCTGTCCCTTTCCCCGTGGGGGGATTTTCAAAAAATCCCTTCTTAGTGTACATTCTCATGACATACCCTAACTGTGTACCAAATTTCAAGTTTCAACAAGTGTGCTGAAATGCTCACAATGAAATGCTCGTATACATGTGCACCACCTATCGTAGGATAAATGTACTATCCATACGTTTCTATATTCAACGGTTGACTCAACAGTGAATTTTCCGTTGAGTCCCTCCGTTGAACGATCTGACGTCACGTTTTGCAGAAAAAAGAAACGCTTTCGTTGAGAGGTCGCTTTTCAAGATGGCTGACTTAAGTAACGAGAAGGTGGCGATTGTGACTGTTTTGTTAATAATTAAAGTAACTCGCTTAACCATTATTCGAATAAATCCTTTTATTCAAATGAACCCATATCTGTATCATTTTTTTTGTATACTGGGTCTTTTTTTAATTAATAATTTTAATTAATTTCTTGAATATTTATATCATTAGGAAGACTTAGCGGGCCAAATATCGATCGTAATCAATTTTGGACAAATGAAAAAATCTTAATATTTCAATATTGACCAAATTATCCAACATAATCGTGCAATCACGTGTTTTATCATATACAGATTGCTCATTAATCTGTCCGCTATTACAGCATCCACAGCAGCGAATGGATAGTTTCTATAAGCGAAATTTACTTTTTCGTGGAAGCCGCCATGTTAGTTTGTTGACTACTCAACGGTCTTTCAGGTCGTTGAAACCGTTGAGCTCAACGGTGAAACAGCGCAGACGTCACTAGTCTCAACGGAGAACTCAACGGTCCATTTAGAAACGTTGTTCTCTCACCGTTGAGTCAACTGTTGAATATAGAAACGTACGGCATGCCAGAAACCATCACAGGAGTGTATTAAACAACTTCCCAAAGTTTCATGGCAATCAGATAAATGGTGTAGTAATGCATGAAGGACAGACATACATTCGTTTTTATATATATAGATAAAAATACACATATACACAGTCTTGCATTTTTATTAGTCATGTTTTTCCGTTTGTGGGGGATTAAAGAATCTGTCCAATGTCAATTGTTTTTCTCTCTCCTTCAGGATTTTTCAGAAGTAATTAATAACATTGTAATTGTAGAGATCCCCAAGCCTATTAAACTCAACCTGGTTTGGATGCCATTCTAAGACTGTTGTTCTGACATCCTCCCACTTCTTCAAAAAATGTTTAATAGCAGATATCGACATTAATCCTCTTTTTCAGAAGAAAACATATCTCGCCGAGTTTCTTGGTGTTCTTCATTCAACAGTTCTTGGCATTCTTCTGTCATCATATCAGTTTCAGGTTCTATTATGAGCTCTTCAATGTTCTTTATTTCTCAGATGTAATTTTTGTTACTCCTTAAGCTGCTTGAGTCTTCTTGATTATACTGTATCCTTCTTAGATGATATTGAACTGTGGCCTACTGTAGACCTGTTCAAGCCATACTGCCCAGCAACATCAGATATCTTCTGCCCAAGATGCAAGAAGAAAACAACTGTCGCAAAAAGCCACACGACAAACAGCTAGCTCCCGCCGCTGCAATCACTGAAAGGTCCCAGAAACTGTCCTTAATATTCCAAAAAAGGGCCACCAAAATCTTGTACACTCAGTAGTGTTCAAATCAGAATCCGTTATAAAAGTACTCGGAAAACAAACCAGAGCCCGCCACACGCAAAACGCCGGACCGTCTAGGACTCGCTGAGTTGCTAGACCTACCACGTGGCTAGACCTACCACGTGGCGAAGAAACAATCCAGTGGAAACAATTTTAACATCTTGACCTGCTATTAAATTAAGGCTGTGTACACACTAGGCGTTTTTAAACGCATGTCGAACGCCGAGCTAACGCGCGTTAGCTCGGCGTTCGACGAGCGTTTAGCGGAGCGTGCGCACTGGCTCGGTTTGGAAATGGATGTGGAAGTGATTGCTTGTGTGTGGCTCCTCTATCGTCGCTATAAAAGACGACGGCAGAGGCAAAGAGAATTTTGGGTGCACCCAATATTACGAGATAGACTGACGCATGAAATGTTTGCAACGTTGTATCCAAAACTAAGACAAAATAAATTCAAGTTTTTTAATTCTTTTAAAATATCTATAAAATCCTTTGACGATGGTTGGTCTCTTTTAGATTTCATCAATAAATAGATAAGTATCAAAATGATCGTTCTCCATTTCAGCACATATATCTCAAAGCGCTCGGCTGACGCCCGCAAAACGCGCGATCGAATGTACAGTAACATGGCAGCACATATATCTCAAAGCGCTCGGCTGACGCCTGCAAAACGCACGATCGAATATACAGTAACATGGCAGCACATATATCTCAAAGAGCTCGGCTAACGCCCGCAAAACGCGCGTTTAACGCGCGCTTGGCCAAAAGCGTGTGTTTGAGTGTGTACGCCTACATAGAACTCTTGGTTCTTTAAAACGCACATTTAACGCGCATTGAAAAACGCCTAGTGTGTACAGGCTCTAAGTTTTTGCACAAGACAAAAATGAATATGATGCATGTATTTGGTAATTTATCAAAGATCAGGAAAATGAGATAAGTAATAATATAAAAACATCAACTATTCTGAGCCACACTTGCATTTTATGTCTCATTTTATGAATTTCATGATGAAACAATATTAATTTTAAAAAGAGAAGACATAACATCTACTGAACTTTGTAATGTTATGAGCAATTTAAAAAGAACTTAGAGTCGTATCTTAATAATCAAATACATACCTTTTTTTTATTTAAGTAACGATGTTCATTATTAGCCAAATTTTTTAAAGTACGATGAGCCAATTCATACTGTTTAGTATTTATGTAATGAATCCAACTTAAGTTGTCATGGCCTTTCAAAAATTGGGTCAATGCATTATGCTGTGAAGGTGGCTGTAATAACAATTTACTGTGTTTTCCTATATTAAACAGAAAATAAAGTTTTACTTCAAATCATTCAATTTTGTAAAACTAATTTATGATTTGTATAGTACTAACTAATCATTATTATTGTAATATAATATAACATAAATATATAAGAGGAAATGAGCAATATAAGGCAATTTTACAGAAGGTAATTCTCATTACAAAAATACAGATACAAAAACAAATTGCTTTACATTATTCATTTCTTCTTGTGATGTTTTTATGTATGATTCTTCTCATAATCTCTTTTTATGAAGTGTTTGTTTTATAAAAGGAAATCAACTGCAACTATTACAAGATAAGTATGCATGTATAACTAAGCTATATGTTTTCAATGACAAGTTCATTGAATATACAATATACAATTATGCAGGTTAGGTAATGATTTTTTGTTTTAGAAATTTTCTACAGGCTATAAGCCATTGTGGGATATATGCACAAATTACAGTAATTTTCTGATTGAATAATATGTTCTAAAAATTTTCTACATTATAATTTAGACCATAAATAGACTTGCTGCCACCTGATTTTAGCAAAATTAATTAATAATACGTATGGGCTATTGTGATATTTTTACTTTCTAATGTGTGAATTGCTATTTTACATTTTTGGTGTAACTAATCCTTTATCTTATTTCTATAATGCACGGTGTTCCAAAAGTCCACATACAACTTTATACTTCAATAACTGAAGATGTATAAATATTAAAACTATGTAGTAAATAATATTTGAGATCCCAACATTTAAATTTTATTATGTAATAAGTTTATTAACATAATACTAAATTATTTTAATTTTTGAATCTCAATAATGACCCCAAATGATGACATTCAAAAATAAAGTAAACTGGAAGCTTTTGCTTGCAGAATTAAAATCAACAACACTTGTTAGAGCAGCATATACTATTCATTATGGCATGTTTATTATACTTTTAACATTTGTATATACTTAATTACTGAATTGTAAAACTAAATAGATTTTTAAAACACCCTGTATAATAACAAATTTATAATAATTATTTTGAAATAAATAACAAATGTGACTTGTAATATAAAAAATTCTTACCTTCATCTAAATACCATTTGAACACAAAATCAGAAAAACCCTAAAATAAAAATTAATATTAATTATTATCTGAAATGTATCTTGAGTTTTAAATGTATCAATTTTATAATTTCATAAAATCTATTTATATTTAAAATTCCATTTAAAACATATTTTTATTGAATATAATGAGAATTCTAAATTTGAACATACAAACCTTGATACATCAAACCAATATTAAAAAGGACAAAAAATATTTATTTTAAGAAATTTGTTATATCATAGATTATGATGTAAAATAAATTTGAATAAATTACTTTTATAAAATAAAGTATTGTCAATTTGTTAAAATTTAAATATGTATATTTTGGTATGTATGCTAAAAAAATTGATCTTGAGTATTATTATTCAGCACATGGAAAAACAATTAGATGTTGAAGAATTAAAGCTGATGCTAACAATACTTATTCTTAAAATCTTTAACATTAGGTAAAAATTATATCCTACTGAATTTCAGAACAACTACAAACATTCTTCAGAGACTAAAAAACTGTTTATGTAGAAACCATTTATGAATGTCTTATCTTAAAAATTTACACTAATTGCAAATTTAAATTGCCAAAAATGAGATGATATGTCCTCAAAACTTTTTGGTGTAAGCAATTTTTTTAAGCTCCTTGTAAAAGATTTGGAATGTTCTGAAATATCTTGGAAATATTTCTTAAATATTTATACATACTTGGTCTGCAAACTGAATCATATATCTGTTCAATCTGTCTTGATTATCTGTTTCTTCACATAATTCAACTAAAATTTTGAAGTCACAATATTTCTCAGCAAGAGAAGCTGTTCTTTCATATTGTCCTGCTTGAACTAAAAAAAAAAAAATCATATAATTAAATATATCAATAATGTAAAGTATATTATTATTTCTCAATAGATTAGAACTTTTCTTAGCAAAGCATATCAGCCATTTTGTATCAGTATAGAAACTTTAGAATTAATAGTTTTTAACTGTTAATAACTTAAGGTTTTGAATGCACCATTAATATCAAATTCTGGTCTTCTGTTTTGACATAATATCCAAATAAATTCCACAAGAATAATTTGTTTAAACTTCTATTTTATATTACTATTAAATTTTTTCAACCTATTACTGTTCCATATGACTTGTAGGTATATCAAGTCTATATTTACAAAATGCTATCCTTAAAGTCTTTGTACAAATATCATTCAATTTCAGTGTATTAACCTGATAGCAGATAACCGATTAAGTTCTGTTGTTTTATTTATAAAATTTTTCCAGATAAATTAAATATAAATTTTTGAAGAGTAAACGTGAAACTTCTGTTTTTTTTAATAAACTTCACCATGTTGTGTATCTTCAATGCATCTTATTCTAATATTGACCTAAACTTTTCTTCTTTGCTTAAAATTATTATATAATTTGCACAACCAATTATAATAAAACTTCAGAATGAACCTTCAGAAACATAAATGATGTAAATAAATATTCATAATCTAATATAACAAAAACTGTTTATTTCTAGGAAAGTAATGAGTAAGAAATGTTTTCTTTAATAAGATGAAATAAAGACTTTTAAAAACATTTAAGATTGAAAAATTGTTGGATTGTTTAGTTTGAGGCTTTTCTTGCATTATCAAGTTCTAGATATAAAGCTTTAAAATTACACTTATGCACAATAAATTCTTAAATTCACACTGCTAGTTATATATAATAAATTACAGGGTAAAGATTTAATTAAATGACCATTGATTTTATGGTAAATCACAGAAAAATGAAAATAAAATGATTTATTACAAAACTGAGTTAAATTCATAAAAAAAAAGAATAAAATTTTAAAGAAACACTTGGGAACCTTATAGAATGCAGAATTGCTTACAATATGGCAACAGATTAGACTCCAATTCTGATGTCATGCTAGCTTTCTGATCATTTGTTTAGAATATCAAAGGATCAAAAAAGCTAGCACTCACATATGCTAATAAGAATATAGAGTGCACCAAAACTAATTATCACAATACCAACACACAGGTAATCCCAGAAGGATAATAATAGAATATGTCCAGACTCCACCCATATATAAAGAAATAGCAAAAAATAGAGGAGTCAAACTTATGTACAGAAAAAACCCATCAATTTATAAACTTTTATGTTATTGTGAAGATCCTGTAAATAAAATGAGAACACCAGGAATATATAGGATCCTGATACTAGATGAAAGATTTAAACGTAATCTAGTATAAATCAGATACACCAACAGATGACTAAATAACATACTGCAGAACACAAATATGACATCAAGAAGAAGAAATGTTCTGGCCATATATGTCTCCAAAACAGAAGTGAAACCTAACTTTGAACAAACTAGCCTGACTAGGCATACAATCCGAATTGAGCAGGCTAAAACACTAAGCTCTAGAAATTTACAAAGCAAGATGAAGAGAGGAATGTATTAATTTTAAGGAAGAAGGAAAAATTTCAAGTGCTTGACAAACATTTTGCAACAATCCAAAAGAAAACCAAGATGGCAGATCTCATTGAGGTATATGTAACATGAGACATATGTAACATGCGTTGATTTATAAAACATATATTTAATTCTGAAAATATATGTAACATCGAATCAGAATATTTAGGCACTTATGATGAAAGCATATATGATTTTTGAACTGTGTTCAAAGATTTTAAAATTTATAGCATTCCACAGCAAATTACAAAATAGAACAAAAACTTGGAGACCTGAAGCAGACTTAAAATTAGGTTGAAAACGTTTGTCCAAATTTACATGAAAAATTAAACTCCTGACGGTTAGAATAAAAGGTTTTTTTTGATGAGTAGATTTTTCTAAATGAATTTATATAAAGTTAGTTTGATTCTATGTATGGAAAGCTAGAACTTCTGTAAATAAGTAATATAAAACCTTCAATGCTTTTTCTAGCAAATTTTCTTCAATCGATCTAGTTCGATTAAAGAAAATTTGCTAGAAAAAGTGTCAAAGATTTTATATTACTTAGTTAGTTTGCTTTTTGCATTAAGGTAATAAAATATAGTTTTCTCTTAATAAAAGTAATATAATACAGATATTTTGCTTTTTATTTACACACATAAAATGAAATATTGAACAGAATGTACAGCTATTATAATTATCTATTTTCACTCATTCACATGTTTAAAATCAGTTGCTGGTATATATGTCAAAATAAGTTAATTCAATAGAATACAAACTGACTTATAATGTAAGCTGATATTTTGGATCCTGAGAATCACATTAGAGTGAGTTCCAAATATATGCTTTTTATAAATTATACTTACATATTGGCAAAATAAGTTTTCTTCGATCATTGATATACTTCTGTTCAACTAAATCATACTCTTGTCTTGTTTTAATAGATTCTAAATGGCATTTATATCCATCTAAAATAATATCAGTCAAATCTAAAAGTTGTTGAAAAATTGTGCCAGAGGTTTGAATATCATCAGCTGTGGGAATACCAAACTCAACACTGATACCATGCTGAAAAAAAAAAAAAACTTTAGAATTAATAGTTTTTAACTGTTAATAACTTAAGGTTTTGAATGCACCATTAATATCAAATTCTGGTCTTCTGTTTTGACATAATATCCAAATAAATTCCACAAGAANATTTATTTACAATATATTTTCAAAAAAATTTGTTCAATAATGGTATCAATAGTAATAATCATTTTAACCTGTTTTGTAAGCATTGTGTAAAGTCCCATAGGCCCTCCTGCTGATGTCCAAGGAACATATTCTGCATTTTTACATTCTTTTGTAGACTTATAAGTATCTGCCTTTGTATGACGAAACTGTAATACTTCTTGAAGCACTTCCTTTAATAATAATTTTAAATATATAATTTTAATGTTGATTAATTATAACTTAATATAAGTTTCAAATACATTTTAATTTAAATATAATTTACTCTTTTAGTATTTAATATAAGCTTATAATATATCTAATAATTTATTTTACGATATATTCAAATCAAATCATTTATTAGCATATTTAAGAATTAATCCTATACAAGAGGAACTCTAAACAGAGTCACAACAAACATAATTTATAAATTAGAATTTGTCTCTGTGAAGATAAAAAAACTTTCCCTGTTATATAAAGGGTGTCTATTAACTGCCAAGCAGACCATATCATTGGATTCTTCTCTAATCTTCTTGGAGAGTAGAATATTTAGTGAAGAAATTATATAATCTTACTATCATAGTAGGTTCCATCTAAAATAGATCCTTGTAAAATTTGTCTTTCAATTTATAGTATGACAATGTAGAAATCCCAAATTGTATTCTAAGCTGTTCATTGCTTGAACATGAACAAATCAGACGATAAACTGAAAATTGTTCTTGACAATTTACACAAATTGTATTTGATATCTAAATAATACCTGTTCACTAATAAATAAAAACAGTTTAATCTTAAATGCATGTAAAATCTCTTAATTTTGTGTGGAATTTGGAAATTAATAATTATTTTATATATTAATTTTATTGAAAATTATTACAATAAAAAACAAGTAATAGAAAAAAGAATAAATTTAATAAAGATAACAACATACCCAGAACCAATAACCTATGTGCACAGAAACAAAAAACTAACAGAAACATTTTCAAACTCCACCAGAGTTCTCTTAAGGCATTATAACAAACAGCTGATGGAATGTCATAAAAACTTTTTTGGAACAAAATGTCTACACTGGTTATCAGTTCTGGGTACATTGTTAACTATATCCTAGTGTGGTGTAGTTCTGTTTAATAAAGATTTTGAATATTATGATAAAATTTGCTATTAAATAATATATCCAATCCAATCCAATCCAAATTACGCTTTATTTGTAATACGGCAATTGCCTGTTACAATGGGAGAACCATAAACTTAAATAATATAACATATTACATAGTATTATTACAATAATATTTTCCTTCTAAATATTTACAAAAGNTTTTTGCATATCTTCGTAGTCTATTTCCGGAGGGGATCTCGGAAAGGGACCTGGATTAGGCTCTATTCCTGCTATTATTAATAGACATATAATCAATTTCAAACATGCTCAATTCGTTATTATCTGAAACTCCAAAATACTCATTATCTGCCTCTAAAATCACCAGACACTCCAACGATACTTTGAAAGTCAAACAAAAGTTCACCAGCAGCGTCGACGATCACAGCGACTCCCCATCATTAAATAATATATACACTGTAATGAAATAATAACAATAAAAATGCATATAATTTTTAACATTAAGTCATAATTTAAACTGTAAAGTCAGTAATCAGGGTGTCCAACAATTTCCAGTTTTGAATTTCCCTGAGATGTACAAGTTTTCCAGGATGAAAACCTGCATTTTTTCCTGACTGACTGAAAATAACTCATGGAAGAAATTAAAAACAGTTCACAGTTTATTGAAACTCACAGTTATAAAGCTATTCAATTAAAAACAGTTCACAAATGAAACTCACAGTTATAAGGCTATTCAATTAAAAACAGTTCACAAATGAAACTCACAGTTATAAGGCTATTCAATTAAAAACAGTTCACAAATGAAACTCACAGTTATAAGGCTATTCAATTAAAAACAGTTCACAAATGAAACTCACAGTTATAAGGCTATTCAATTAAAAACAGTTCACAAATGAAACTCACAGTTATAAGGCTATTCAATTCCCTTTATTATAAAATATGATTAATTCTTTCATATATTGTTGCTTCAAAATGTGCAGAATATTTTATATCACATACAGATTCAACATAACAATTTTATTAAAATATGGAAATGTGAGGACCAGAAATTTTGTGTTTTAAACTAAAATTTCTTGTTTAATAAACTTTATAAAAACGGAACGAGAAAACAGAAAATTAAAAGAGAAAAAAGAAAAATAAAATCAATAAAAACCTCAATTCCCACGAGTTAGGTTCCGTGTTGAGATGAGTACATTTCTGTGTCACGATTGTGTCACCCGTCCCCTCATTGGACCAAGAAGATCGTCATCGCTGACGAAATCGGAGAAAAGTTCGAAAAAGAGGACTCGATATAAAAGGGCCAGGCATGATGAGTAAGGGTGTGGAAGTTATTATTGGTATCTGTGTGCGCGCTCCGATCGTCTACCTCTCGCCGAAAATCCGAACCTCCTCCTCGCCTACAAGACTAGAAGACCTGAACTTAACTGTAATTTTTCTACTCACCTGAAAAGAACTGTTCACCTAAAAAGAACTGTTGGACCTTTTGTGCTGATTTTGGACTTGAGCTCCTACAACCTAAGGTATTTATCCTACCCGTGCACTATTGTACGCTCTCTCTCTCCGCGTAAACAAAACGCGCACCTGGTCATTAATTTGGACTAAAAATTGAATAATAACTCATGTAGTTTATGTATCATATTTTATTCACTGATGTAAACTTAATTTAGATTATATATAAATAAACGGTTTTTATGTTTAAAACTTCTGGAGTGCAGTTTCTTCCGTTTTTCTCTCAGTTCTCCATTCCGGGTCCAACCCTCATACCTATCCGCTCGCGTGAACTTGTGGTCTCTGTATCGACCAAAGGATACAGTAGTGTCATCCTGACGAGGTATCGAAGAGATACCGACCCTATGGTCACAGAAATTAAAATTGACATGTTAACCTTATAATCTAAACATAATACATGTTTTCCAAATGATTCAATTCACAATAAGCAAATATCACAAAATGAACAAAATAATCATACTCTTTATTAATTATAGAATAAAATAACACCTTTCTTTGCAGTTCTTGCAATTGCTCATTAACCTGTTCCCTGGTATTCCCAAGATATTTTGGGCTGAAACATAATGACCTTGACCAGTTGACCCAAGATATCTCATTTCAACATTGGAATGTTTTTGAAACTAGATGTCACTAGTTATAATTTTTATATTAAACTAACTTCCGAAATATAATTTTTTTTGTTCTTACATTTATTAATATATCTATTTCGTTTGTGCAAAATAAAAAAATAGTTTCAGACGGTAAAATAGCCACATTTATTTTTTTCAAACATGTGTAATTTTCGTTAGGCTTAAAAATTCAATGTGGTGGGACACGCAACGGAGAAAAATTTCAACACGCAAATAGGTTAATGATAAAGATAATGCTAAAAAAAAAATGCTTATCATCTTTTTCTTTAGCATTATCTTTCATCATTTCTGCAGCATCACCTTCTCACTACTCTCTTTTTCTTTTCTTATTTCTTCCCATTTATAGGCTACCATAGCTTCCTTGCATCTCTGAGCTGCATTTCAAGTTGCATGGATCAACTGTTTTGGTATATCCAATTTCCCCAAGCCACCAGCTGACATGACTATATTATGTAATTTCCTGTAAGTTACAAATGTTTCTTCTTTTTGATTTTCCATTAAACATTCTTTGTTGATGGAAAATCTACATTCCATATGAGCATTACCATGGGACATTATTAAAATCATCTTCACAAATGTTTCAACTTTTTTTTTTACTTCACCATACTGATGTGGCAGACTAAGTCAGAAAGAATCAAATCTGTCATGCTGTCTGGAGTAGTGTTTAATCATAATCACTAATTCCTGGAGATGACAGAATGATTTTGTATTGTTAGGCAATTTTATCAGCTGTAGAACCATTTATCCAGTTGTTAATCACAAAAGTTTCTAATGTAATATCTAGCGGTTTTTGTGCTCTCTCTCTATTCCTTGCATAAACTAGATTTAGTCATGACAGTCCTTGGTCTACTGTTAATGTTTTAAAAGTGATCTGTGTTGGATAGCTTGTGATAGCCCACATGTTGATCAAATCTGCTAATCTCAGCATCCAAAAGACTTCACATGACTTGTTTAATTACATAAAAAAATCTTGTAAAATTGTGAGAATAGTTGCTTTTATGTGATCCCATAAAAAAAACTGACAAAACCAGACTGAAAAAGTCAAGTTCAGCAAAAACATGTAAGTAAAGGAAACTTTTGAAACTTGTGGCATAAGAATAGTGGAAGCAGATTTGACAGTAAGACAACATGTGAATAAAGTGCATATTACACAGACTACGACTACAGGAAATTTTGAATGAAGCATTGTCACCATAATAATAAACAGGAAAAATAAACATTGGCACAGAAAATAACTTCCAGCTCTACTTTGTGCCTTAAAATCATTACATGTACATTAATTTAGCTGAACATCTTTCAGTAGTATCAGTAGGAAGTTTGGGGCAATGGATTTATGAGTTAATAAGGGAAGGGGTGGGGTGTCCAGGTTTTCTGGTAGTTAAGTATGTTCTTGCAAATATTGTGTTGATAGAAAAATTATTAGATTTGGTTTGGTTTATTTGGTTACAGCAATGCAACACACGAATGATCTGTCAGGGACAGTTGATCCATGCATACCAGAAAACTCCACATGGCCAGTCCATTGGCAATATGCAAACCCATGACTGCTGGTGTTCAGTGGTTTTATAGACTCGGTTATTGGTCGGTAATAACTGCAATTTGAAAAAATTGTAGACCTATATCACTGTCATCCATATGTCTATCTATTCTTTCTTAATCTCAAGAACAGTTAAATAGATGAACATTGATACCAGATATGAAAAGCTTAAGAGCAGTAGACCCAGATTAACTATACACAAATTTCCAGTTTTTACTGGAAATCATGTTATTTTAATTCAAAATTTTCAGTGAACAGAGTTAGATATATAACTGGCACAGCTGTACTGCTAACAGGAAAAGTGTGATTTACAGGGGAAAAACACTACCTGTCACAGTAATGGCATTATGACGTGTAATAGCATGTCTATTTTGTGCTATATCATTGTTGCAGTAATTAAAAAAATTTAATATATATTTTTAAAACTTATATCATTTTTTATAAGAATTATATATAGTTAATCATTTTCTTAGTTTTGCCAATAGACAGTACTAAATCTAAAGCCAGCAAATCAAATGTAGACAGAAATTAATTGATATATAGAAATCCAATCAACATTTCAGGCTGGGATGTATGGCATTACATTATCTAGGTTAGAAGTACGTGAACATAACTGCCAAGTTTTGTAGCAATTGGTCAAATAGCCTAAGCATATATAGTGAACAAACAAAGAAACAAGCATCCTCATCTATACTAATATTATAAAGAGGTAATGTTTGTATGTATGTATGTATGTATGTATGTATGTAAGTTTGTATGTATGTAAGTTTCTTTGCAGCAGGTAATCTCCGAAACTACTCATCCGATTTCAAAAATTCTTTCACCAATATTTAGAATGGAACTTCAGGGTGGACATAGGCTGTATATTATTCCGTTAAACATTCATATAAATTAAAAGATATAATCTAGGTTAAGGCTACGACGCCCTAAGTTTGCTTTTCTGTGAGGCATTATGCTTTTCTGTGCAAATGAACTAAAGCAGATCATCTTCTATCTATCTATATAAATAAAAATGTAATGTTCGTTTGTTGCTACTGATTCCTTTGAAATTTTGACACAATGCTGCATTCAAATACGCACATGTTTTTATATAATATACATGTCGAAATTCAACCCCACTAAAGGGAGATGGTTAGGATTAAGGCTTATGGTAAAGAACTCTGCTTCTATTTATACTATTTTAGATGCGGGTTTTTGCGTTTTTGATTGCGTTTTAATAGGGTACGTCAAGAGAATGTATACTAAGAAGAAATTTTTTGAAAAATTCTCCCCCACAGTTGAAGTGTTATAATTTTATAATAGATACATTTTGCGCCACAACAATGTGTGGTGGGGTCTGCTAATTTATATATATAGATATCATTTTTAAGCCTCTTTTTATACCTTAGTAAATTAATCATATAGAATATAGAACCAGGGTGGCCAAGCTCCTTAATAGTCCGAGCCATTTTTCAAAATTTGAAATTTTTCGCGAGCCGCAATTAAATACATATTAAAAAGGTATGCAAAAAATTCCAGATTACAAATTATATCCATAGCAAGAGTGATACAAATTGTTTCTTCCAGAGCACAATGTCAGCTGTCCATTGCAATGACAGTTTACAAATTTAAAATCGGTCTGGAGTTGGTCGATAACGGACGATTACGCCACTGTTTATGTTCGTTCGCGCAGTTCTCGATGAGTCATATCGTTCTTAACTTGGACGGAAATGAAATTTGTTACAACATTGCACTTAATCTTTCATATTTGTTGTTAGTAATTTAAAAGACATTTTGAAACACATACGGAACGATAATAATTTTTTAAAATATAATAACACAAAAATGAAAAAGGAACTTGGGTACATTTATCGAGAGCCACAAATAATCCTTCAAAGAGCCGCATGTGGCTCGCGAGCCGCAGGTTGGCCACCCCTGATATAGAACAACAACATGCCAAATGACTGCCATATAAAATTGAGCTACTTCTCCCTAATTATCTTAAATCAATTTCTTATTTGTTACCACTCTCTAGTGACAAATTATTTAGAAATTAATTAATAATAATAGCATATTACTAATATATCAGCTTTGAGATGTTTATATATGAACAACATTTTTACAACCTTCATTATACAACTAATACATACATACATACAGTTGACCCCCTTATAACACGGGTTCCTATAATTCGGATTCCTATATCATGGCGAAAAAATTGCGACAGTATTCGTACAAACATGCCAAAAAAACTTGTATAATTTGGTAAAACGTCATCACTGACTAAAAACCATTTATTATTTAACGTCCATAAAAATTATATTTATATTAATGATGTCTCCAAAGTTCAGCAAATTTTTCGCAAAAAAAAAATAATTTAATAGGACACACACAAGCGCCATTTGATGACAAGCTCCACGACGAAAACAAGCTTAAGCAATGGCAAATGGTGCACGCTCGGTAAGTAATCCTACAATTTCTTGTTTATAGCATAGTTTATATGGATTATTCCCAAAAAATTATACATATTTTGGAAATGTTGAGTCGAATTAGTCTAGAATCAATTAATTTTATGGAAGAAACCTTTCAAACAGCCGTAGTCCATAAACTGCATATGTGCCGAACTGTGACTGGCTGTAGAAAATGGATTTATAAAAACCAGAACGTATCTACCATGTTATAGAGGGGGTAAACTGTATGTACAATAGTTTTAAGAATAAAAACTTGTATTATTGTAGTTATGCTTTAATACAAATGATTTATCTCCTACTGAATCATATTAAAGTTGAATGATAAAAGGTGACAAAAACAAATCATTTTTTAATACATGTTACCATTTTGAACTTTCTTTTATGAATTACATAAGAAATGTAGTGCATTCACTTACAGATTTGCCTCAAATAATACAAAACTTAGTTAATCAGGGTTCTACTGTACTTTCCATTGCAGTAGTTAATATATCAAAAATAAAAATAAAAATAATGTTTATATTTTAAATAATCTTACCAAGAATATCTGATTAACAGATGTTATTATATTGAAAATATCTGAAGCTGTGATATCTCTATCTAGCTGTGCTTCTTCCCATTTGATTAAAAATGGAAATATCTCATTTATGGCAGAAACCTAATAAATAAATGTTTGCAACTGTTTACATGGAATAAATATTATATGATTTTATATTCATTTTATTATGCTACTTCATATTATTATTCAAAATTTTATGCAATGTTTAAATCAATTACATATTTACAATCAAATAAATACATAAATATTTTTAACAAATTATTAAAATATATAATTGATATAAATTATAAAACATAACATAACATATGGATAATCTGACATAATCATTAAAAATGTTACTTGGCAATAAAAAACATCTTGATATGTTAAATTCCCAGCAACTTCACTTTTCCTATGTATTAAAACTGACTTTATTGCTTGTTCTAGCATTTCATTATACCTTAAAAGAAATTAATAAAAATTATTATTAAGTCAATAACAAAAAATAAATAACATTAAATTAATTTGCATTAATTAGTTCTCACTTGATAAAATTCTAAAAAAAAATTATTATTATTATTATTATAAAGTTTGTTTGCAAATTGCGAATTCAATTCATTATAAAATATTATTCAGTCAAAGCTGTTTATAATGAAGAAATAATCATAACTTGCTTGGTGTAATGTATTTTAATATGACTTTTATAGAGTAATTTATTACAGTTTTCAAAGAGGTGAGCAATCTTTTAAACTGTGCATTCCAAAATTGCTTCATCTATGATGCAAAATTTTCTCTTATGCCCACTAAAATTTCTGAGAGCATATTATTATTTAGTCTAGTGACAGCTAATGCAAAACAAAAGCTAGATTTAACAGATTTTCTGCTAAACTGACAACTCTGCTTGTAAACTGCTGGGACAGATTTATTGGAAAAAGGATATTTGTTTCATTTTCTTATTACTTATTATTACTAAAACAGTTAATAGTACAGAGTATTTGTTTTTTTATTATACTTTTATTTAGTATTGCTTTACTTTGATAAAAAATTGTATTTTATTAACCTGTAATTGCTTATTACTATGCATTCAATATCTTAAAATTACAGCAATGCTTAAATACAGTACAGTATTTGAATCACCCAACCAATTTTTCCATTACAACTTTAGGATGAAAATTTCATTAAAATGTTTTAATGAAAATACTTTATGATAAACCATTTTAATGGATTTATCATATTGAGTTTCCACTGTATTATTAAATTTCACACTTTATATAAATATACATTGTAAATAATATTTTAGAACAAAATAGAGAATTTATTTAATAATAAAATTAATTCATTTTACAATAGTTGTTAATGTGAAAATATAATTACAAAATTTATTACTATACATTTTTGTAATAAATTGCTGAATTCTTGTTAAAATTATTTTACATAATGGTAAATAAAAATACCAGAAAATGAAAATTTATACTAAAAAATTAATTCTGAATTAAAATACAGTACAGCACCTAGTATAATTCATTAAGAATTCATAATTATATTCTCTAGTGCTATATATAAATCTAATCAGATCCAATTTAGATTATAGAAAGAATTCAGAAAATAACATGCAGTCTCAGAAAAAGCAGTTCTTTAGAATAGAAATTTTAACTTTCCTAAAATATAATTTTCTATGTAGATACTATTTTTGAAAAATACAATTGCAGATTTCATTTTTATATACAGACGATTCCCCCTATAACACTATTGACTATTCCATTTTATATGAATTCCATGTTGTACAAGCCACTTAGATTTTACATATACATGGGCCGTTCACATCCCGACACACGTATTTATAAAATCTAAATGACTCATACAACATGGAGTTCATATAAAATGGAATAATCAAGTGTTATAGGGGAGTCGACTGTAATACAATTGAAGATTTAAAAACATATGACATAAGTTTTCAGCTGTATAGAATACATATCTTTTTAATAAATAATATATTATTAATAAATTAATCTAATTATTATCATTAAATACTAATTTTAGAACTACATCATAAATTCTTATTGGAATAAAATTATTACATGAGATCATGTTTTATAAAATTATGATAAAAAGAATTGATTATGATAAAAATGTTAGATATGTAATTATATAAGAAAAATTTTAATTATAAAATGGCATATGCCAATATTCAAACATAAATCTAAACATACCTATTATTTTGATGAAATGTTCTCAAATATAGAGCAGCTACTAATTTCTCAACATGTTCACACAATAATAAAGTTGTATACATTGATATTCCTCTTATTTTTACTGTGGTTAACTAGTAAAAAAAATAATAATAAATATTAAAAAAATATCTAATATTTAAAAAAATTTAATTTAAGTAATTTGTGTTTATTATATTATATATATAATAATGTTGTAACTATTATTATTTTAAAGGCTGAATAGAGACAGAGGTGATAAAGACATCAGCCTAATGTTCTTTGAAATAAATTTAAAGGATTAATTTATAACTAGATTTATACATATAATAACAACAGTAAAATATTTTTTTTCATTTATCTTCATTCAAATATATTTTGAGAAACATGCACAATATCTTTCTAGTCTATTAAATAAAAAATAATAATAATAATAATCTAAGGTTCTAAAACAACTTAAAGAATTATGAAATTTTATTACCTTATCCCACAATTCAACAGATTTGATGAAATTAACAAAACAATCATGAGCTTTAATTTTATCTTCCAGCTGATGAAGTAAAATAAGTGAAGTTGATATACTAGAAGAAGCTAAAATAAAGCAAATTTAACTGCTTTAAGAAGAAGAAAATAATAATAATAATAATAATAATATATATAAAGTTATTCAATAATAAAATTTGAAATATATTAACTATTATTATTTCTCTAAAATATATTATTTATTAAAAAAATAGACAAAGGTTTTGAAAGATATTAAATATTTAATAATAAAATAAAAATTTTTGTTTAACTTAAATTATGCAATTCCATAAACTAAATTCCCATAACTTCCCCATATAAAATCCACAGAAAATTAATAAACAAAAATAAAAATGCTATGTAATCCACATCACATGCTTCACACCTCTAAATTTACCATTGAAAACATGTCAACTCATAAGCAGTTTAAAAAAATTAGTCTCCCCCAATTCCATTTTTATTTTCTCATTCCTTTTATTTCCATTAATAATTCATTGTAGATGTAGTTATAAAATATGTAAGTCTCCTAAACTGTTTTAAGCATTGAAAATACAGGCTGGACAAATGTATCACTGTAAAAAGTGTGATAATTTGTTATAATTACTATGTATGAACAAGATAATAAGAATCGATAGTATAGGAAAACATTTGCACAAAAGAGTTGGTAAAAAAGGTCAAATAGAATATGTGTTTCATGGTTATCTAATTCAACATACAGCATCTCAGACAAAAGTATAAGGTCAATACTATAATACACATCCTTGGGATTCATCAAATAACAATAGGGAAATCAAGAAAGAATTTTTACACAACTCTAGCATTAACCAGGTTAATTTAACATCAATTATCACTCAGTACAGGAGCAAACAGATAGCAACAAACATGCCAAAAGATAAAGAACTGTCTAAGTTCAAAAGAGGACAAATTGTGAAAAGGAAACAATATGGAAAAATGGAAACACAAATTGCTGCTGCTACAGGACATTTAAAGATTGTTGTGAACACTTTCCTACAAAATTCAGCCATATATGGAACAAGAAAACAGTGAGGAAGACCACCAGTGTTAAGCAACCATCAGAAAAACCAAGCAACACTTCTTGCGCATTATGACAAATGATTTTCTTTGAAAATAGTGGCATGTTTGAATCTTCAAAGTCTTAGATTTCAACAAAATATCCTCCTTTAACTGCAGTCCACAAAAAAGCATGTGAAAAGTATCCTCCTTTAACTGCAGTCCACAAAAAAGCATGTGTGTCATTTGCTCTTAAACATCTAACCTTTGATGAAAAATAGAATGACATTGTCTTCTCAGACAAAAAGTTTAACTTAGATGGATCAGATGACTTCAGGAATTACTGGCATCATACCCATGACAACAAGCAATATTTCTCAAGCATCAAATTGGAGGTGGATCAGTGATGATCTGGGGTGCATTTACTGCCAATGGTGCTCTATCAATTGTAATGATAAGTATATGAATGACTTCTTCATTGCTTAACGATTATGCTTACAGAACATTTGTTATTACAAGCACCACTATGTACATCTGGCAAATAGATTTTTCAGCAGGATAACACTCCATAACATCAATCCATGAGCAACAATGAGTGGTTTTTGGCAAATACCATTACTGTTCTAAATTGCCAGACTTAAATCCCATAGAAAACCTTTTTGTTCCTCCCATTGATGATGTCTATTAACATGTTTATGTTAACGGTCATCATTAATTCAACAAAAAAAAAAAGGAAGTAACAAATGCTACACAAAATTCATAAGAGAACTTGGATAAGTTTTTTAAAAACACTCACAATGTCCACAATAAACAGATTGTTACAAGTGCTACATAAGAAAAGTGCAGTAATAATTTCTAAGGTCTCAATCAATATTTTGTGAGGAAATTTGGTAAATTCCTGTTTTGACCTTATGATTTTGTCCACGATGTTATTTGTTAATTTGAATAAAAGATCACAATACAAACCTTATACTTTTTTTACCTTAAAATACTTTAAAATAATTATTTTAAATTGATTTTTATAGATGAAATTTAAGTATAAATTTTTTTACATATTAAAATTTAATGCAGAGTTTAATACTAAAATGAAAATAATTATAATAATTATTATTATGTGGTGTTTTTGGAATATATAGCCATGTAGGATATACCTACTTGGTGTATATATTGATACCTAGTGCTATGCTGGACCGAAGTCAAGGCATAACTACAGGAAAATGTTTTGTTTCCATGTCATTTCATACATATTTGTGTTTAAGAATTTCCTGATAATGTGATATGTGTTTAATATGGCAACCTTCTGTAGTGTGATGTATGTGCTTTTGTGAAGCCCTAATGTTTCAAGATTTTTACGTAATGTTTGTGCAAGAAAGGACTAGGGACACAATACATACTTAATCTATTCTCAACAGATACTTTATTTTATGGTCAAGTTCTAAGTATTTATTAAATTTTTCAATGTATGTATTTTGTATCTAGTATAGCTATGTCTATGGTGTATGTGATTTTGTTTTCTTTGTCAAAGAATGTGATATCTGTTTTGATAAATTGCTTTATCTGTGAATATGGCATGGTTATAATACATTTTGTGTGTGTTGTTTTCTATGACTGTTTGAAGAATGTATTTGTACTATGGTTCCTGAGTGCATGGAAGTTTGTGTTGCAGGGAAGCTTTTAATGTATTATATTTGCTATTTCATTATGTTGATTTTTATAATCTGTTTAAGTTAAAAGCATATAATTATTATTATTATCTGTGTAAATTAAAATAATTTTATTACCATCAGGAATAGATTCTGCCCAACGTGGATCAGAAGCTGGATAATCATCAATAAATTCTTCACTCATTGTAATCACAGCTGTATCTAAAACAGAAGTGGATTCAGAAAAATCTACAGATGACTGCATAACTAAATTATTTATAATTTCTTGGCTTTTGACCTAAAAATGAAAAATAAGCCATTATATTAATTTCAAGACATGTATTTTGTAATAAAAACTGTTTTCATACATTTCAATACAAACAGAACAATAATAACATATTAAACATAATGAATTTAATAGTTCTTACCAAAGTTATTACACTAATATTTAACTTAAAAAAAACTGTCTTATGATGTTATAAATATCAAAAATAAAAATAAATAAATAAGAATAAATATCAAAGAAGAAAACAACTTAAAGTTTTTAATTAAAATATATATACTGCTAGTATTTTCAATAATACATTATCATCTTCATCGACTGCTTGAAACACATGATCTCAAATGTTGCAATCTTTAAATTCAAAATTATATAGGATGTTTTACAAACAAAATTGTGTAAGATATAATAAAAACACATTACATTTTTAAATTTAAAAGCACATTCACATTTTTCATATGTAAAATTGTTTTAATTAAAAATTAAAATAAGAAAGCAATAATATTTCAATGGATACTACTGTACTTAAAATACATATAGAAAGCTTTTCAGAAAATACTATTTGGTTTGAGAATATTAATGCTAATAACAATTATTTAAGCACTTAATAAGTAATATCCATTTAAAACTACAAGCCAACCATTGCTGTATGTCAATGAGCTAGAAATCGGGCTGTTGTTTGTGATATCCAATGTTCCATTTAAATATTATTGCTTTCATATTTTAATTTATAGCTATAACAATTGTTTATCTAAAAAATCAAATATGATTTTAAATTTAAAGATGTAATATTCAAGAACCAAGCATCTGATTTGAATATTATTTTCTTGTTTGATATTTATTCTTATTTATTTATTCTTGTTCTTGATTTTTATAACACCATATGACAGTTTTTTGTTAAACAGTACTTTATATTTGGTGTGCCATTATAGTCTAACTTCATTATATTATATATGTCTCTATTATGTACTATTATATTTGAGAAAGGTCCTATGTAAAAAGTTTAAAACTATTGCTTCAAAATAACTTTTCACAGGTATAAAAACTTATTTAAATAAAATTAAAAAATAATATAAACTACTTTTTACTTCTAAATTGCTTTTGAAAATGCATTTTAAAATCCTAATGTAAACAAAAGTACAATTACTTTTAACATAAAACTATTTAAAAATCTATATGACATATTGATTTTATTTACTACAATATTACAGATTTTATTAAAGCAATGATATAGTTTGAATAAGCAATTCAAGTTCTAGTTACTGAAACATCTTTTGAGACTAACAAATAAAAAATGATTAAAAACATTAAAAATAAATAAATCTTTAAGATGTACATAATTTTCTACCATATGCAATTTTTAAAAATAAACATATAATTTTATATTATTACAGAAGATAAATACATTTTATCAAGTTATTATTTCTAAAAACTTACTACTCCATCTTTATAAAACAGCATTAAAGCACGTTTCAACAGAACAATATGATTATTCTTCCCTCCTTGCAATTCTGCCTGAAAAATAATTTTCCATAAATCAATAATAAAAATTAAAATAATTTATTATTTTAGCCTTGTACAGGTGCTCCCCTACTTACAAACAGGTTAGGTCCCCAAGGTTTTGTTCTAAGTCAAAAACTAACATAGAAAGTACATTTGTACAGAGAATAACAATTAGTATTTGATCCTTCAATGTATTTAATGTTTATTGCTTATTTACCTGCTTGCTACTTCTTAGTATCAGCAGTTTCAAATATGGGCTTTTGTCATCTAATGTACTTAGTTTAGTTTCCACAGTAAAAGAGTGGCATTTCTTGCATTTATTTTCATTGCTAGATTTACTATTACATTTTGGATGCATTTTTGAAGAACTAATCATAAAAATTCATAAAAATTGCCCAAAAGAGTGAGAAATGCCATTATTCCAAAGTTACCAACTTTGACACCGCCTCATGAGCAGCAAATGAATCAGAACTTGCACAAAAATGAAAAATGACTATATTCAATAGAAATAATCTCACATTATTTATTACTGGTCAAAGACTGACTTCCATACCACTGCACGAGCAACAACAGAATTTCACAATCTGTGCAAAATGTAAATTTTAGACGTACAGTAAAATTGTTCTTAACTCTGAAAGTTCATAAGTTGAATATTCATAAGTAGAGGAGCACTTATATAAGTAAAATTAGTATACAAATTTAATGTTAAAATTCCAAAAACTTTTTTAGTTAACAATATATTATTAAAAAGTAAAATATTGTACTTTTTGAAATATTAAAAATATCCATAAATTACATATTAATTAATATATATAATTAATTAAATTAATTAATTATATTAATTAATATCCATAAATTACATATAAACAAATATAATTTCTATCATTGTAGAATATTTTGTTATAAAATTTCATTTAATAAATTTGATAGATGTATACAAATATTATCAAAGTGAACAGATTTAATAGTAACAATTACACATAAAAGAAAAATTCACAATAAAAACTATAAAGTTCAAAACACAAAGAATAACCTTTTCAAATATTTTGATCAATGGACAAATGTTTTCAGGTAACTTTATAGTTCAACATCAGGTCTACTCACAACATAAACATAAATTTCTAACATTCTACTTTGAAACATCATAGCATTCCATAACACTTTTTATAAATTTAAAATGTCCAGTATTCATGTTTCTGCACATTTAAAATTTCAGATTTTATAAAAATTAAAAATTGTATAAATTATATTCAAACATCTTATTAATTTTCTAAGTTAATATATAAAAGTATTGAATGCCTGTACATTCTAAATTTCAAATTTGTAAAAAGCATTACAGAATGCTATGGGCTCTCTTTGAAACTAAAACAGTTAAACAACACCACAGCATACTTTTTAGGCATAAATATATAGTTCAACGAGGGTCATATCAAAACTGAAATATATTACAAATCTGGATACCAGCTTTAAATCATCACGGCAGACTCCATTGATCTACATATTCATAAATATCACTATCTAAACATCTTATGTGCATAGACGGTGACAAAATAAGATAATAAATTTCTATAAATTTATTTAACATCAATTTAAATTTGTAAATATTTATACTAAAAAAGTGGAACATGAATTTGAATTTCATCATCATTCCAAATTTTGAAATATAACTGTTGTCTTCAAATGACTCAAAGCATACCTATCATTATGTTGGAAACATTTGTCTTCATTAAAATGAAATCCTGCTAATGTTAAAACAAGGTTTATTGGTGTGCTGACTTAAAAAACAATCTATGTTAGTCTTGCCTATGTCGACTACAACTTTATCAAGTGTGTAACCCGAGCCTTGTGAATCATTAAAGTGTGAAAGATTGTGAATGGAAACTGTCAACAAAAATAATCACAGTCACTATCTTTCCATAAAGATAGGGAAAAAGCATCTTCATATAGACAGGGATTAATATACTTATCAAATGTGACTAGAGCACAAATAAATAATAAAGGTGATCTTCTGTCTTTATCTTATATAATGTCAATTATAATATCAATTTAGATACTTTATTTTCTGGAATAATTATTCAGTTTTTAAAGATTTAATCAGTTCTTACAAACATCATAGAGTATACTGACAAAATTTCACACTTTTTATATATTTCTGTTTTCAAATAATTATCAGATCAAGTACTTTCAATTAAAAGTCTTTGTTTAATACTCAGACTAATTACTATGATCAAATTTTGTCTTGATTACATTTTGTCAATACATTTAAAATTATTTGAGATAGCAATAACTTTCATTCTGAATTACAATTTTGTTTTTTAATAGTTTTATAGTAAATTTGAATTGCCTTTATTAAAAAATTCTGAAAATTCTTCATTTAAATTTCTGCTGTTAAAATATAAATTTCTTTTATGTAATAAAATATTTTTAAAAATTTTTTTTATATTTTCTTATTCAATAAAAGTAAGAAAAATTGTTTTAGCATACTTACTTCCTCAATTTCTTTCATTGGTAAATCTAATAAAATATTTTTTGATGTTCTGTAATAAATAATAAAATTACTATAGTAAATAAACTCAAATTAAGTTTTATTTTTCTATACAAAAATATCAGGAAAATATGTCAAGATTTCAATATACAAATTAAAAATACAGTAGAGCATCGATTATCTGACTCAATTGGGGACTGGGGTTGGTCAGATAACTGAAAAAACGGATAACCGAAAAATATGAAAAAATACATTATTAGTATAGAATATTAGTATATCTCATGTAATTAGTATATCGCTATTAACCTACTTCGCGTTGAATTTTCATCGATGTTAAGCCTAACAAAAATTTTTTTTAAATAATAATCATCACTATTGTATTGTTAAAAATTAAAAAATTAAGCATCGTTTAAACACTGGCTCCCTTTCATGGTCGAACCATGTTGCTAGCTAAAACACGTAAAAATACTATTAAAGTAGCCAAGACATAGCAAATATTGTAGCGCCACATCACTAGCAGACATTTGAATTTGCCGACTAGAACGGTCGGTTAACCGATGTGACGGTTAATCGGAGGTCGGATAATCAATGCTCTACTGTATTACTTAATCATTTGTAAAAATAACTTAGAAAATTTTTTATTTAATTTTTCTTAAACAGAATGAAAGTATGGTTAACAATAAATTTTCTAACTTTTTGATATTCATTGTAGAACATTTACATGGTGCTATTCTATTTATTTTTTCTCCATCTATCATCTATATATATTTTTTTGTTAGAGAATGACGAGAAAAATGTTATGTATATAGTTTAAAAAATTATTAAATAATAACTCCAATAACTCCTCTAAGTATATTAAAATACTCCTCTCCAACCAATAAACATAAACTAATTGTGACTAATATTTATGCACTTAAATAAATATCAGTTTTAGTAATGATTACTATTGAACAACTAAAAATCAAATAAATATAAAATTTTCTCATAAATAATATAAAACTAAATTTTTGAAAAATTACACTGGTTCAGGAGCAGATGTTGGAGGTGTTGACTGATTAGATAAAATAGACATCAAACCATGAGTATATGAGAAAAATAATGGAATTCCATCACAAGTACCTAAATATCCATAAATTACATATAAACAAATATAATTTCTATCATTGTAGAATATTTTGTTATAAAATTTCATTTAATAAATTTGATAGATGTATACAAATATTATCAAAGTGAACAGATTTAATAGTAACAATTACACATAAAAGAAAAATTCACAATAAAAACTATAAAGTTCAAAACACAAAGAATAACCTTTTCAAATATTTTGATCAATGGACAAATGTTTTCAGGTAACTTTATAGTTCAACATCAGGTCTACTCACAACATAAACATAAATTTCTAACATTCTACTTTGAAACATCATAGCATTCCATAACACTTTTTATAAATTTAAAATGTCCAGTATTCATGTTTCTGCACATTTAAAATTTCAGATTTTATAAAAATTAAAAATTGTATAAATTATATTCAAACATCTTATTAATTTTCTAAGTTAATATATAAAAGTATTGAATGCCTGTACATTCTAAATTTCAAATTTGTAAAAAGCATTACAGAATGCTATGGGCTCTCTTTGAAACTAAAACAGTTAAACAACACCACAGCATACTTTTTAGGCATAAATATATAGTTCAACGAGGGTCATATCAAAACTGAAATATATTACAAATCTGGATACCAGCTTTAAATCATCACGGCAGACTCCATTGATCTACATATTCATAAATATCACTATCTAAACATCTTATGTGCATAGACGGTGACAAAATAAGATAATAAATTTCTATAAATTTATTTAACATCAATTTAAATTTGTAAATATTTATACTAAAAAAGTGGAACATGAATTTGAATTTCATCATCATTCCAAATTTTGAAATATAACTGTTGTCTTCAAATGACTCAAAGCATACCTATCATTATGTTGGAAACATTTGTCTTCATTAAAATGAAATCCTGCTAATGTTAAAACAAGGTTTATTGGTGTGCTGACTTAAAAAACAATCTATGTTAGTCTTGCCTATGTCGACTACAACTTTATCAAGTGTGTAACCCGAGCCTTGTGAATCATTAAAGTGTGAAAGATTGTGAATGGAAACTGTCAACAAAAATAATCACAGTCACTATCTTTCCATAAAGATAGGGAAAAAGCATCTTCATATAGACAGGGATTAATATACTTATCAAATGTGACTAGAGCACAAATAAATAATAAAGGTGATCTTCTGTCTTTATCTTATATAATGTCAATTATAATATCAANTATATATATACATATATATATATATTGTATATTATTATTATAATGTAATATAGATACCATACTATGACAAAGACTTTCTTAAATTATATGTTGTTATTTTAAAGACTGGATCTAATTTTTGATTGTTTTCTCTTTCAATTTATCCCTGTGATCAAAAAGTATCAAAAATGGTTCAATAAAACACAAGATTTGAATTTATTCATCAAAATTTATTTCATCCTCTTCAAAGTAATCCCCTCTTACTGCAATGCACTTATGCCAATATTTTTCCAATTCTCTAAACATGCTCTAAAGTTATTTTCGTGAAATCACTTTGGGACGCAGCAAATTTTGTCTTATGGCATCAACTGACTGAAAATAGTCACCATAAAGTGAAAATTTTAGATGAGGAAACAAGAAAAAGTCACACAGTGCCATATTTGATGAATACAGAGCTTACAGAACCATCTTTGTTGAATTTTTGGCCAAAACTTCACGAACAAGAGCATTGTGAGCACGTGCATTATCATAATGAAAAATCCATGAGTTTTCTCATTTTCTATGAACTGCTTCAGGCAAATGATGCAAAATGTTCAAATAATATTCTTTGTTGACAGTATCTTGACCAGTCTTGACAGTTCTTTGGCCAGTCGGAAGGAATTTGTGATTCAAACACTGTGACAATCAAAGAAAACTGTCAGCACGATCTTGATTTTTGACCAACCCTGACATGATCTTTTTGGTCTTGCTTCACCTTTTGAACGCCATTCACTCAACTGTGAGCCTTTTGGTGTCAAAAGCTTACATCCATGTTTTGTCATTAGTAATGATGCATTTTAGGAAGAATTCACCTTGAGAAAGCCTTTCCTCATCCAAGTTGTTGCTTTTGGAAAAAATTCAACTTTTTCAGGGTGACTCGAGAAGTGGCATGCCACAAGCCCAAATGATCTTTTAAAATTACTTGACAAGATCCAAATGATACTGAAACCTGTTCAATAATGCCCCTAATTGTTAAACAAGAATCACTGAGCACCAAATCTCTGATCTGAGCAATGTATTCTTCGTCAGCTGAAGTAGATGGTCTACCAGAGTGTGGTTCATCTTTGATATGTTCGCTGCCTTCCTCAAACATCTTGTACCATTTGAAACTCTTATTTTTGATAGACTATTATCACCAAAAACTTTTTGCAACATTTTCAACATTTTTGTAGTAGTAATTCTATTAAATAACACCATGAAAACTGCAAAATATACCAGCAAATATAATTTAATATAAATACAATGTAGTAATTCTGTTGCAAAAACAAAATTTTATACACATTCTTTGCTCAATTACAAAAAAAATGTGTATTAATTTGCTTTTCTTTACAAGCAAAACAAGCATTTATTTGTGAAATAAAACAGATGATGATATATGAATTGCTGCTGGATTTGACATCCATATGTCATCATCAATCAATGAAAGTTGTATCAAACAATGAAAAAATGACGACAGCACCCTCCTGCATGCAAGCAGTTTAAATAAATCATTCCCAATACTTTTTGATCACAGTAGAATATTTTAAAACAATTTTAAACACTTCAATAATTTTATATAATTTTTAAAGTTGATGTTGGCTATAGTTTAAGTAAATACAAATAAAGAAAGTTATTTTGTGAATTTAGTTATATGAAAATGTTATAAAATCAGATAATAGCATTCTGATGGAACTATAGATATTTTAACAAGCTTAATTGGAATTTTCTCCATTTAGGTGAGCTGATAATACATGGAATACAAAAATTTTTTATGTTTATTTACATGGAATACATTAAAAANAAAGGTTTTGAAAGATATTAAATATTTAATAATAAAATAAAAATTTTTGTTTAACTTAAATTATGCAATTCCATAAACTAAATTCCCATAACTTCCCCATATAAAATCCACAGAAAATTAATAAACAAAAATAAAAATGCTATGTAATCCACATCACATGCTTCACACCTCTAAATTTACCATTGAAAACATGTCAACTCATAAGCAGTTTAAAAAAATTAGTCTCCCCCAATTCCATTTTTATTTTCTCATTCCTTTTATTTCCATTAATAATTCATTGTAGATGTAGTTATAAAATATGTAAGTCTCCTAAACTGTTTTAAGCATTGAAAATACAGGCTGGACAAATGTATCACTGTAAAAAGTGTGATAATTTGTTATAATTACTATGTATGAACAAGATAATAAGAATCGATAGTATAGGAAAACATTTGCACAAAAGAGTTGGTAAAAAAGGTCAAATAGAATATGTGTTTCATGGTTATCTAATTCAACATACAGCATCTCAGACAAAAGTATAAGGTCAATACTATAATACACATCCTTGGGATTCATCAAATAACAATAGGGAAATCAAGAAAGAATTTTTACACAACTCTAGCATTAACCAGGTTAATTTAACATCAATTATCACTCAGTACAGGAGCAAACAGATAGCAACAAACATGCCAAAAGATAAAGAACTGTCTAAGTTCAAAAGAGGACAAATTGTGAAAAGGAAACAATATGGAAAAATGGAAACACAAATTGCTGCTGCTACAGGACATTTAAAGATTGTTGTGAACACTTTCCTACAAAATTCAGCCATATATGGAACAAGAAAACAGTGAGGAAGACCACCAGTGTTAAGCAACCATCAGAAAAACCAAGCAACACTTCTTGCGCATTATGACAAATGATTTTCTTTGAAAATAGTGGCATGTTTGAATCTTCAAAGTCTTAGATTTCAACAAAATATCCTCCTTTAACTGCAGTCCACAAAAAAGCATGTGAAAAGTATCCTCCTTTAACTGCAGTCCACAAAAAAGCATGTGTGTCATTTGCTCTTAAACATCTAACCTTTGATGAAAAATAGAATGACATTGTCTTCTCAGACAAAAAGTTTAACTTAGATGGATCAGATGACTTCAGGAATTACTGGCATCATACCCATGACAACAAGCAATATTTCTCAAGCATCAAATTGGAGGTGGATCAGTGATGATCTGGGGTGCATTTACTGCCAATGGTGCTCTATCAATTGTAATGATAAGTATATGAATGACTTCTTCATTGCTTAACGATTATGCTTACAGAACATTTGTTATTACAAGCACCACTATGTACATCTGGCAAATAGATTTTTCAGCAGGATAACACTCCATAACATCAATCCATGAGCAACAATGAGTGGTTTTTGGCAAATACCATTACTGTTCTAAATTGCCAGACTTAAATCCCATAGAAAACCTTTTTGTTCCTCCCATTGATGATGTCTATTAACATGTTTATGTTAACGGTCATCATTAATTCAACAAAAAAAAAAAGGAAGTAACAAATGCTACACAAAATTCATAAGAGAACTTGGATAAGTTTTTTAAAAACACTCACAATGTCCACAATAAACAGATTGTTACAAGTGCTACATAAGAAAAGTGCAGTAATAATTTCTAAGGTCTCAATCAATATTTTGTGAGGAAATTTGGTAAATTCCTGTTTTGACCTTATGATTTTGTCCACGATGTTATTTGTTAATTTGAATAAAAGATCACAATACAAACCTTATACTTTTTTTACCTTAAAATACTTTAAAATAATTATTTTAAATTGATTTTTATAGATGAAATTTAAGTATAAATTTTTTTACATATTAAAATTTAATGCAGAGTTTAATACTAAAATGAAAATAATTATAATAATTATTATTATGTGGTGTTTTTGGAATATATAGCCATGTAGGATATACCTACTTGGTGTATATATTGATACCTAGTGCTATGCTGGACCGAAGTCAAGGCATAACTACAGGAAAATGTTTTGTTTCCATGTCATTTCATACATATTTGTGTTTAAGAATTTCCTGATAATGTGATATGTGTTTAATATGGCAACCTTCTGTAGTGTGATGTATGTGCTTTTGTGAAGCCCTAATGTTTCAAGATTTTTACGTAATGTTTGTGCAAGAAAGGACTAGGGACACAATACATACTTAATCTATTCTCAACAGATACTTTATTTTATGGTCAAGTTCTAAGTATTTATTAAATTTTTCAATGTATGTATTTTGTATCTAGTATAGCTATGTCTATGGTGTATGTGATTTTGTTTTCTTTGTCAAAGAATGTGATATCTGTTTTGATAAATTGCTTTATCTGTGAATATGGCATGGTTATAATACATTTTGTGTGTGTTGTTTTCTATGACTGTTTGAAGAATGTATTTGTACTATGGTTCCTGAGTGCATGGAAGTTTGTGTTGCAGGGAAGCTTTTAATGTATTATATTTGCTATTTCATTATGTTGATTTTTATAATCTGTTTAAGTTAAAAGCATATAATTATTATTATTATCTGTGTAAATTAAAATAATTTTATTACCATCAGGAATAGATTCTGCCCAACGTGGATCAGAAGCTGGATAATCATCAATAAATTCTTCACTCATTGTAATCACAGCTGTATCTAAAACAGAAGTGGATTCAGAAAAATCTACAGATGACTGCATAACTAAATTATTTATAATTTCTTGGCTTTTGACCTAAAAATGAAAAATAAGCCATTATATTAATTTCAAGACATGTATTTTGTAATAAAAACTGTTTTCATACATTTCAATACAAACAGAACAATAATAACATATTAAACATAATGAATTTAATAGTTCTTACCAAAGTTATTACACTAATATTTAACTTAAAAAAAACTGTCTTATGATGTTATAAATATCAAAAATAAAAATAAATAAATAAGAATAAATATCAAAGAAGAAAACAACTTAAAGTTTTTAATTAAAATATATATACTGCTAGTATTTTCAATAATACATTATCATCTTCATCGACTGCTTGAAACACATGATCTCAAATGTTGCAATCTTTAAATTCAAAATTATATAGGATGTTTTACAAACAAAATTGTGTAAGATATAATAAAAACACATTACATTTTTAAATTTAAAAGCACATTCACATTTTTCATATGTAAAATTGTTTTAATTAAAAATTAAAATAAGAAAGCAATAATATTTCAATGGATACTACTGTACTTAAAATACATATAGAAAGCTTTTCAGAAAATACTATTTGGTTTGAGAATATTAATGCTAATAACAATTATTTAAGCACTTAATAAGTAATATCCATTTAAAACTACAAGCCAACCATTGCTGTATGTCAATGAGCTAGAAATCGGGCTGTTGTTTGTGATATCCAATGTTCCATTTAAATATTATTGCTTTCATATTTTAATTTATAGCTATAACAATTGTTTATCTAAAAAATCAAATATGATTTTAAATTTAAAGATGTAATATTCAAGAACCAAGCATCTGATTTGAATATTATTTTCTTGTTTGATATTTATTCTTATTTATTTATTCTTGTTCTTGATTTTTATAACACCATATGACAGTTTTTTGTTAAACAGTACTTTATATTTGGTGTGCCATTATAGTCTAACTTCATTATATTATATATGTCTCTATTATGTACTATTATATTTGAGAAAGGTCCTATGTAAAAAGTTTAAAACTATTGCTTCAAAATAACTTTTCACAGGTATAAAAACTTATTTAAATAAAATTAAAAAATAATATAAACTACTTTTTACTTCTAAATTGCTTTTGAAAATGCATTTTAAAATCCTAATGTAAACAAAAGTACAATTACTTTTAACATAAAACTATTTAAAAATCTATATGACATATTGATTTTATTTACTACAATATTACAGATTTTATTAAAGCAATGATATAGTTTGAATAAGCAATTCAAGTTCTAGTTACTGAAACATCTTTTGAGACTAACAAATAAAAAATGATTAAAAACATTAAAAATAAATAAATCTTTAAGATGTACATAATTTTCTACCATATGCAATTTTTAAAAATAAACATATAATTTTATATTATTACAGAAGATAAATACATTTTATCAAGTTATTATTTCTAAAAACTTACTACTCCATCTTTATAAAACAGCATTAAAGCACGTTTCAACAGAACAATATGATTATTCTTCCCTCCTTGCAATTCTGCCTGAAAAATAATTTTCCATAAATCAATAATAAAAATTAAAATAATTTATTATTTTAGCCTTGTACAGGTGCTCCCCTACTTACAAACAGGTTAGGTCCCCAAGGTTTTGTTCTAAGTCAAAAACTAACATAGAAAGTACATTTGTACAGAGAATAACAATTAGTATTTGATCCTTCAATGTATTTAATGTTTATTGCTTATTTACCTGCTTGCTACTTCTTAGTATCAGCAGTTTCAAATATGGGCTTTTGTCATCTAATGTACTTAGTTTAGTTTCCACAGTAAAAGAGTGGCATTTCTTGCATTTATTTTCATTGCTAGATTTACTATTACATTTTGGATGCATTTTTGAAGAACTAATCATAAAAATTCATAAAAATTGCCCAAAAGAGTGAGAAATGCCATTATTCCAAAGTTACCAACTTTGACACCGCCTCATGAGCAGCAAATGAATCAGAACTTGCACAAAAATGAAAAATGACTATATTCAATAGAAATAATCTCACATTATTTATTACTGGTCAAAGACTGACTTCCATACCACTGCACGAGCAACAACAGAATTTCACAATCTGTGCAAAATGTAAATTTTAGACGTACAGTAAAATTGTTCTTAACTCTGAAAGTTCATAAGTTGAATATTCATAAGTAGAGGAGCACTTATATAAGTAAAATTAGTATACAAATTTAATGTTAAAATTCCAAAAACTTTTTTAGTTAACAATATATTATTAAAAAGTAAAATATTGTACTTTTTGAAATATTAAAAATATCCATAAATTACATATAAACAAATATAATTTCTATCATTGTAGAATATTTTGTTATAAAATTTCATTTAATAAATTTGATAGATGTATACAAATATTATCAAAGTGAACAGATTTAATAGTAACAATTACACATAAAAGAAAAATTCACAATAAAAACTATAAAGTTCAAAACACAAAGAATAACCTTTTCAAATATTTTGATCAATGGACAAATGTTTTCAGGTAACTTTATAGTTCAACATCAGGTCTACTCACAACATAAACATAAATTTCTAACATTCTACTTTGAAACATCATAGCATTCCATAACACTTTTTATAAATTTAAAATGTCCAGTATTCATGTTTCTGCACATTTAAAATTTCAGATTTTATAAAAATTAAAAATTGTATAAATTATATTCAAACATCTTATTAATTTTCTAAGTTAATATATAAAAGTATTGAATGCCTGTACATTCTAAATTTCAAATTTGTAAAAAGCATTACAGAATGCTATGGGCTCTCTTTGAAACTAAAACAGTTAAACAACACCACAGCATACTTTTTAGGCATAAATATATAGTTCAACGAGGGTCATATCAAAACTGAAATATATTACAAATCTGGATACCAGCTTTAAATCATCACGGCAGACTCCATTGATCTACATATTCATAAATATCACTATCTAAACATCTTATGTGCATAGACGGTGACAAAATAAGATAATAAATTTCTATAAATTTATTTAACATCAATTTAAATTTGTAAATATTTATACTAAAAAAGTGGAACATGAATTTGAATTTCATCATCATTCCAAATTTTGAAATATAACTGTTGTCTTCAAATGACTCAAAGCATACCTATCATTATGTTGGAAACATTTGTCTTCATTAAAATGAAATCCTGCTAATGTTAAAACAAGGTTTATTGGTGTGCTGACTTAAAAAACAATCTATGTTAGTCTTGCCTATGTCGACTACAACTTTATCAAGTGTGTAACCCGAGCCTTGTGAATCATTAAAGTGTGAAAGATTGTGAATGGAAACTGTCAACAAAAATAATCACAGTCACTATCTTTCCATAAAGATAGGGAAAAAGCATCTTCATATAGACAGGGATTAATATACTTATCAAATGTGACTAGAGCACAAATAAATAATAAAGGTGATCTTCTGTCTTTATCTTATATAATGTCAATTATAATATCAATTTAGATACTTTATTTTCTGGAATAATTATTCAGTTTTTAAAGATTTAATCAGTTCTTACAAACATCATAGAGTATACTGACAAAATTTCACACTTTTTATATATTTCTGTTTTCAAATAATTATCAGATCAAGTACTTTCAATTAAAAGTCTTTGTTTAATACTCAGACTAATTACTATGATCAAATTTTGTCTTGATTACATTTTGTCAATACATTTAAAATTATTTGAGATAGCAATAACTTTCATTCTGAATTACAATTTTGTTTTTTAATAGTTTTATAGTAAATTTGAATTGCCTTTATTAAAAAATTCTGAAAATTCTTCATTTAAATTTCTGCTGTTAAAATATAAATTTCTTTTATGTAATAAAATATTTTTAAAAATTTTTTTTATATTTTCTTATTCAATAAAAGTAAGAAAAATTGTTTTAGCATACTTACTTCCTCAATTTCTTTCATTGGTAAATCTAATAAAATATTTTTTGATGTTCTGTAATAAATAATAAAATTACTATAGTAAATAAACTCAAATTAAGTTTTATTTTTCTATACAAAAATATCAGGAAAATATGTCAAGATTTCAATATACAAATTAAAAATACAGTAGAGCATCGATTATCTGACTCAATTGGGGACTGGGGTTGGTCAGATAACTGAAAAAACGGATAACCGAAAAATATGAAAAAATACATTATTAGTATAGAATATTAGTATATCTCATGTAATTAGTATATCGCTATTAACCTACTTCGCGTTGAATTTTCATCGATGTTAAGCCTAACAAAAATTTTTTTTAAATAATAATCATCACTATTGTATTGTTAAAAATTAAAAAATTAAGCATCGTTTAAACACTGGCTCCCTTTCATGGTCGAACCATGTTGCTAGCTAAAACACGTAAAAATACTATTAAAGTAGCCAAGACATAGCAAATATTGTAGCGCCACATCACTAGCAGACATTTGAATTTGCCGACTAGAACGGTCGGTTAACCGATGTGACGGTTAATCGGAGGTCGGATAATCAATGCTCTACTGTATTACTTAATCATTTGTAAAAATAACTTAGAAAATTTTTTATTTAATTTTTCTTAAACAGAATGAAAGTATGGTTAACAATAAATTTTCTAACTTTTTGATATTCATTGTAGAACATTTACATGGTGCTATTCTATTTATTTTTTCTCCATCTATCATCTATATATATTTTTTTGTTAGAGAATGACGAGAAAAATGTTATGTATATAGTTTAAAAAATTATTAAATAATAACTCCAATAACTCCTCTAAGTATATTAAAATACTCCTCTCCAACCAATAAACATAAACTAATTGTGACTAATATTTATGCACTTAAATAAATATCAGTTTTAGTAATGATTACTATTGAACAACTAAAAATCAAATAAATATAAAATTTTCTCATAAATAATATAAAACTAAATTTTTGAAAAATTACACTGGTTCAGGAGCAGATGTTGGAGGTGTTGACTGATTAGATAAAATAGACATCAAACCATGAGTATATGAGAAAAATAATGGAATTCCATCACAAGTACCTAGTAAAAAATAAATTAATAAATATTAAAAATTATATAAATTTAACAGAAATTTGTATTCTTATTTTTCCTCCATGTTTTATGTTTCTTTGCGAACAATTTATAACACTTTTAAAAATAATATTAATATGTAAATAATATCAGAAAAGTTTAATGACAATAGCAAAGTTTTGAAAAAAATTTTTAAATCTAAAATAATGAACAATTCTGGGGATGTAACAGCTCAAAGGGATAAATCTATTAGTTAAACAGTGTAGCTAATAAACCAAGAAAATATCTTTGTTATTAAATAAAAGGTTAAAATTTTTGGAATGTTTGTCATTCTATCACCAGACCATTGCAGTTGTTATGAATATTCAAATTGCAAATTCTAAATCAGTAATTTCATTTAAACACAGAGAACACATACAATAGGTGATGCAGATCCAAAATTCCAGTTATATTGAGACAGTATGTTTAAAAAATGAAATGTAATTTAAATAAGTCCATATTTACTTCATATACTGTATATGTTCTGTACACACTAATGGAATAACTGGTTTAGAATGCTGCAATTTAAAGTTCATTAAATTACACTGATCTAATGATGAAATGATAAACATTCCAAAAATGTTAATCCTTCATTTCATAAATAAAAACAATTTCTGGCTTCTTGAAAACCTGAATATTTGTTTAACTAATCAATGAAGAAAAAATTTAAAATAATAAAATATCTTTTAAAATATATTTAAAATTGACCTTTCATATTCTACAGATATCTAAACCTTGATTGAATAAAATTTGTGTTATAGAACATAAAATATTTTCAATTTTTCTGGTGATACAGCTAATGTTCTTTTTCAATTAAATCATACATAAAAAACTTACACACAAACTGAAACTGTATATTAATCAAAACACTAATTAGCATTTAAGTATTAGTGTATTGATCAATTAAATCATTTCTTATTTATATAAAAAGTCTGCTTCTATTCAAATATTTCATATCAGACAGTGAATCAGTGAGACTAATTTCATATGTACAGATTACTAATATTTAAAATAAAAATGTGATTGTTTCAATAAATTTCATGTTTTTCCATCTTAAACATAAATTATTTTTTTACATACATATTAAAAAATTTATTGACAAGATGTAATATATATATATATACATATATATATAGGGAAGCTTTTAATGTATTATATTTGCTATTTCATTATGTTGATTTTTATAATCTGTTTAAGTTAAAAGCATATAATTATTATTATTATCTGTGTAAATTAAAATAATTTTATTACCATCAGGAATAGATTCTGCCCAACGTGGATCAGAAGCTGGATAATCATCAATAAATTCTTCACTCATTGTAATCACAGCTGTATCTAAAACAGAAGTGGATTCAGANTATATATATACATATATATATATATTGTATATTATTATTATAATGTAATATAGATACCATACTATGACAAAGACTTTCTTAAATTATATGTTGTTATTTTAAAGACTGGATCTAATTTTTGATTGTTTTCTCTTTCAATTTATCCCTGTGATCAAAAAGTATCAAAAATGGTTCAATAAAACACAAGATTTGAATTTATTCATCAAAATTTATTTCATCCTCTTCAAAGTAATCCCCTCTTACTGCAATGCACTTATGCCAATATTTTTCCAATTCTCTAAACATGCTCTAAAGTTATTTTCGTGAAATCACTTTGGGACGCAGCAAATTTTGTCTTATGGCATCAACTGACTGAAAATAGTCACCATAAAGTGAAAATTTTAGATGAGGAAACAAGAAAAAGTCACACAGTGCCATATTTGATGAATACAGAGCTTACAGAACCATCTTTGTTGAATTTTTGGCCAAAACTTCACGAACAAGAGCATTGTGAGCACGTGCATTATCATAATGAAAAATCCATGAGTTTTCTCATTTTCTATGAACTGCTTCAGGCAAATGATGCAAAATGTTCAAATAATATTCTTTGTTGACAGTATCTTGACCAGTCTTGACAGTTCTTTGGCCAGTCGGAAGGAATTTGTGATTCAAACACTGTGACAATCAAAGAAAACTGTCAGCACGATCTTGATTTTTGACCAACCCTGACATGATCTTTTTGGTCTTGCTTCACCTTTTGAACGCCATTCACTCAACTGTGAGCCTTTTGGTGTCAAAAGCTTACATCCATGTTTTGTCATTAGTAATGATGCATTTTAGGAAGAATTCACCTTGAGAAAGCCTTTCCTCATCCAAGTTGTTGCTTTTGGAAAAAATTCAACTTTTTCAGGGTGACTCGAGAAGTGGCATGCCACAAGCCCAAATGATCTTTTAAAATTACTTGACAAGATCCAAATGATACTGAAACCTGTTCAATAATGCCCCTAATTGTTAAACAAGAATCACTGAGCACCAAATCTCTGATCTGAGCAATGTATTCTTCGTCAGCTGAAGTAGATGGTCTACCAGAGTGTGGTTCATCTTTGATATGTTCGCTGCCTTCCTCAAACATCTTGTACCATTTGAAACTCTTATTTTTGATAGACTATTATCACCAAAAACTTTTTGCAACATTTTCAACATTTTTGTAGTAGTAATTCTATTAAATAACACCATGAAAACTGCAAAATATACCAGCAAATATAATTTAATATAAATACAATGTAGTAATTCTGTTGCAAAAACAAAATTTTATACACATTCTTTGCTCAATTACAAAAAAAATGTGTATTAATTTGCTTTTCTTTACAAGCAAAACAAGCATTTATTTGTGAAATAAAACAGATGATGATATATGAATTGCTGCTGGATTTGACATCCATATGTCATCATCAATCAATGAAAGTTGTATCAAACAATGAAAAAATGACGACAGCACCCTCCTGCATGCAAGCAGTTTAAATAAATCATTCCCAATACTTTTTGATCACAGTAGAATATTTTAAAACAATTTTAAACACTTCAATAATTTTATATAATTTTTAAAGTTGATGTTGGCTATAGTTTAAGTAAATACAAATAAAGAAAGTTATTTTGTGAATTTAGTTATATGAAAATGTTATAAAATCAGATAATAGCATTCTGATGGAACTATAGATATTTTAACAAGCTTAATTGGAATTTTCTCCATTTAGGTGAGCTGATAATACATGGAATACAAAAATTTTTTATGTTTATTTACATGGAATACATTAAAAAAGTTTAAAAACAATTTTTAATAATAATAAGTTAAATTATTGTTAAATAAAAAATTATACATTCTCCAATTTTCTCTTTGAGAATATAAAATTCTACAGAAAATTTCCCTCTTTCCCCAGTTGACTCAAAGTTCCAATTTTGGGGAAAATCCCCAATCTGGAAACTCTGTCTTCAGCACATCAAATTTAATTTGCCATAAAAAAGAAGCAGACTAGATCTTAACGCGTTCAAATGCTTCTTTTTGTAAATAAAAATCTGCAGTTGGTAAAAATTAGAACAATCATTGATTAATCCATTATAGTAAGATAAAAGTAGTAAAAAAATAATAATGTAAAAGTCAATGTTTTATTTCTTAGAATTTAATAAATTATTTTTCTTTTTACTTTAAGTTTTACTTTATTAATTACTTTATTAATATATATGGTAATTAATTTTAATCAATCCATTGAAATAACAAAAAATACATACTACAAAAAACTCATTGAATCAAAAATGTTAGACTTTGAGGACACAAAAGCTATCAGTTTCATCATAGATGCACTATCATTGGTGAAAACAGAATCAATTTCATTTTCTTCAATTGGAACTCATATTTTTTTACTGCATATTGTGATTTTACACAAAAACAAACAAAATTTATCTAAAACATTTTTCCGAAAGATACTATGTACTTGTCATAAGTTATGTGCATTTGAAGTTCTACATGGCACCATACAATTCACATGTGAATATTTGTGAAACTCATTAAAAAAGGAAGAAAAACATTTAAAAAATTATTATGAAACTATTATTGTTTGAAAAATTCATTCTTTTTCTTCAAATAGTGAACTGATAGAAAAACTAGTGCCATAACATGTTAAAGCCATCGAGTTTGTACTGTATTGTCATGGATTGTCCAGAATGTTGATCTATCCGGGAAAACCATGAAATGAGTTATTTCTGTATGATAAAAACTGGCAGATCAATCTATCCAAAGAGAATGTCGCCATGCTGGTTTAAGTGAGGTTATACATCCTTTCCCAAAGAAAGTATAAAATTTATAGATGCCAGTTTTTATTATAAAATTGTGAAACTGTCAGAATTAAATCAAAAATTACAATTATATGTTTAACATTCTTAAGACCAGGGTAACGATCTGTTGCACCCCCCATTGTTATAACAATGTACTAGGGTACCGATTCGTCGTTACCCTGCGAAAAATCGATTTTAATGAAAATTTTTGGCAACAGATGCCACCACTTGACGGTAGTGTGTTGTCTACCATCTGTTTCACATATTTGTGTCCAGGTGGTGTTTTGTCGACTGAAAAATTTTTATTTAGCAATTTTTTTTTTAAGTTAAATATTTTTTCATTTATTTTATAGCATATTTACGTAATAATATTACTAAAATACGTTTATTCATGCTATAATAAGTTTATTTAGTTATAATAAGTCAATGTATGATAAATATTTAAATTGTGACCTTTAATTTTAATATTTTATAAATTTTTTTATTTTTTATTTTTTAATTTAATTAAAAATATTAGCACATCGTAAATGTATTACTACTGGTTTATATATTTATCACAATAATTTATATTATTGTTCAAAATAAAATGAATAAAGAATATTAGTTCGTAATATTCATCGATAGCAAAATAAAGGTTAGATTCCAAACAAAGGATATATTATAATCTGTGATAATTTTAAAACTAAAAATCGTACATTCATAAATGTTATATAGAATTGTACAGAACAACATTTTAAGTCGTTCTGGCTTAGTGCCAAGAACAAACTACTTAATTGGAGTATGTGAATTTTAAAAAATGTTGCAAATTTTCACAGACAGATGTCAGTTCTGATATATTATAATTTTTTTCTATTGAATTTTTTTATGGAAATGTATTTTAAAATATCGTATTTATAACTACAGATATGAATAAATGTAACGTGATTTTTGTCATATGAATATAACAATAACTTGATTTTTGGTGAATTTTTGAAATAATATAACTTGTTGACCTATATTGACCTTGGCCCTTCTAGACAATAAACGTAAACACGGGGCGTGGTAACTGCTTCTAAGAAGGTTAATTTCTGCATTTTGTCTTTTTTCTAACAACATAAAATACTCATGGACTATTGCAAGTGCTTTTTTATGTTTATTTTATTGTAAGCTGATCCAAAAAACATAAAAAATAAACATATCAAATTTCAGAAATTTACTGTAAATTATCTGAATTTACACCAATTAACATTTGCTATGTGTGAAATTTGAGAGGAAAGTGTTATTTTTAAGGTCAGAGTAGCCCAGATTGATTGACTACTGCTGCTGCTGCTGCTGCTAACATCAATAAGCCATTAATTGTTTTATTGTCCTTTAAATGCAAATTCTCTTCCTAATGTTTAAGTCCATTAAATTACAATGTTATTATTTTATTGTATGCAGATGAATGTTTTCTTTAACAGTTATTTCATAATTATTTTTGTTAGATTTGATTAATTTAATTTTTTAGTCGCAGTTTAACCACTATTCCAATAACCCCAAGGTTTCCAGCATGCTTGTCTTCTCCAGTTATATGCAGTATGCCAGTCAATTCACAAAAATATTGTTATAAAAAGATGATGTTGATCTTGATTCCATCAAATAATTATAGTTTCCTAATTATTTTTTAAAAATTTTTCTTCCTTTTTCAATTAATGTATAGATATCCAGATTCAAACTGTGCAGCAGCCACATAAAACTTCATAAATTATGATAAGTGAATCTTTAAAAAAAATGTTTTTAGATAAATTTTGCTTGCTTTTTGTGTAAAATCATAACATGCAATAAAAAATGGGAGTTTCAATTTCAGAAACTGACTCCATTTTCACTAACCTAAGCACCATTTTTGATGAAAGTGACAGCCCCATCTTGTGGTCCCCTTGAAGGCTAACATTTTCTGTTCAATGATTTTTTGTAGGATATGTATTTTTTTGAGTTATCTCAGTGGACTGATTAAAACAAACTGTCCTATATAGAAATACATAAACTATTTAAATAATAAATATTAAATAAAATTAACTAAATAAGTCATATAAGGTAATGTAATTAAGTTCACTAAGCATTCAAAATATTTGAATATTTGAGATCTGTCTAATATCCAAGTCTGATGTTTAAATTCAAGAAAAGTGTTCACCATCTCAAATTTAAAATTATAAAAGCCTTTTCAATGTTTAATCATTATCATTTATAATCACACACAACTTATAAGTTTAATTAAATTCAACACATAATGCAAAAAAACTTTAAAATCTTGGATATGATATGAGTAAATAAATTATTGTTTTATTGTTTTGTTCAATGTTTGATGAAAGCTTCATACCTGCACCTAAAATCTTATCTCCATGACTACTAAATTCAATAACATCAGATTCTTCTGTAGCAGTATCAACTAAAACGAAATAAAATTTCATTTTAAATATTTTATTCATTTATTAATCAACAAACAAACTATATTCATTTATTACTATAATTAGGATACAACTTTATTTATTATTATTAATCCTAACCATATAGACCATATATTACAGCAGTCAAACTTGTATTTATTTATATTGAAATTATCTGAAAAATTTAAATAAAAACAATAACTTTGTTTTAATATTATGTAATGCAAATACATTGGAACATGCTTTAGTCTTAAATAAGCACATGTCCTGGCAATACCTAATGGCAGAAAGTGGAAGACACCAACAAAAATTTGCTTACATCTTATATCTGCAGCATGTTAGATAATTTCACAGAAATGGTCACCTTGCAAATGTGTACTCAACATTGTAAACACGTACTTTCACACAAATGTTCATCTTGCAAATGCTATGTTATGTTACATAATGTAAGTTAAGGTGTGAATAGGTGTGATGTTAAGGCGTAAACAATTTTTCTTGGCAAATTTACCACAGAATGAAAGTGTACAAAGACATATATTTACCTAGGATTAAATCTACAAGTGAATGCAGAAATTTAAAATGTCCAATAGGATATTGTCAAAGCTCCATGGCAAGACCAGATATATTAAAGCAACATATGCCATCCACTATTTAAAAAGCTGAAAAAGTATTGCTAAAATCACTGCTAAATTAAATATAAATGTTAGTTCTACACATATCTTGTCTCAAATAAAAGCTGCAATTCAACAAAGAATATGTAGTGGATGTTAATACTACCTGACATCTGAACAAAAGGTACTTATGCTAGAGAATTCACTCTGATCCTTAGAGATCACTACTTTTTTGGACCAATGAAGAAAATATTTGGAGAAGACATTTTCAAAGTAAAGATAGCCCAAAACAAGCCACGTAAAAATGGCTCTTCAAGCAACCTAAAACCCTCTGGGATGCTATCTAGTCACTAGACATACTGGAGAAAGTGTGTTGAAATAGGAAGCAATTATGTTAAAAATTATACAAATGTATCCTGATATGAAATAAATATAATTTATAACAAANTAACACTTTTAAAAATAATATTAATATGTAAATAATATCAGAAAAGTTTAATGACAATAGCAAAGTTTTGAAAAAAATTTTTAAATCTAAAATAATGAACAATTCTGGGGATGTAACAGCTCAAAGGGATAAATCTATTAGTTAAACAGTGTAGCTAATAAACCAAGAAAATATCTTTGTTATTAAATAAAAGGTTAAAATTTTTGGAATGTTTGTCATTCTATCACCAGACCATTGCAGTTGTTATGAATATTCAAATTGCAAATTCTAAATCAGTAATTTCATTTAAACACAGAGAACACATACAATAGGTGATGCAGATCCAAAATTCCAGTTATATTGAGACAGTATGTTTAAAAAATGAAATGTAATTTAAATAAGTCCATATTTACTTCATATACTGTATATGTTCTGTACACACTAATGGAATAACTGGTTTAGAATGCTGCAATTTAAAGTTCATTAAATTACACTGATCTAATGATGAAATGATAAACATTCCAAAAATGTTAATCCTTCATTTCATAAATAAAAACAATTTCTGGCTTCTTGAAAACCTGAATATTTGTTTAACTAATCAATGAAGAAAAAATTTAAAATAATAAAATATCTTTTAAAATATATTTAAAATTGACCTTTCATATTCTACAGATATCTAAACCTTGATTGAATAAAATTTGTGTTATAGAACATAAAATATTTTCAATTTTTCTGGTGATACAGCTAATGTTCTTTTTCAATTAAATCATACATAAAAAACTTACACACAAACTGAAACTGTATATTAATCAAAACACTAATTAGCATTTAAGTATTAGTGTATTGATCAATTAAATCATTTCTTATTTATATAAAAAGTCTGCTTCTATTCAAATATTTCATATCAGACAGTGAATCAGTGAGACTAATTTCATATGTACAGATTACTAATATTTAAAATAAAAATGTGATTGTTTCAATAAATTTCATGTTTTTCCATCTTAAACATAAATTATTTTTTTACATACATATTAAAAAATTTATTGACAAGATGTAATATATATATATATACATATATATATAGGGAAGCTTTTAATGTATTATATTTGCTATTTCATTATGTTGATTTTTATAATCTGTTTAAGTTAAAAGCATATAATTATTATTATTATCTGTGTAAATTAAAATAATTTTATTACCATCAGGAATAGATTCTGCCCAACGTGGATCAGAAGCTGGATAATCATCAATAAATTCTTCACTCATTGTAATCACAGCTGTATCTAAAACAGAAGTGGATTCAGAAAAATCTACAGATGACTGCATAACTAAATTATTTATAATTTCTTGGCTTTTGACCTAAAAATGAAAAATAAGCCATTATATTAATTTCAAGACATGTATTTTGTAATAAAAACTGTTTTCATACATTTCAATACAAACAGAACAATAATAACATATTAAACATAATGAATTTAATAGTTCTTACCAAAGTTATTACACTAATATTTAACTTAAAAAAAACTGTCTTATGATGTTATAAATATCAAAAATAAAAATAAATAAATAAGAATAAATATCAAAGAAGAAAACAACTTAAAGTTTTTAATTAAAATATATATACTGCTAGTATTTTCAATAATACATTATCATCTTCATCGACTGCTTGAAACACATGATCTCAAATGTTGCAATCTTTAAATTCAAAATTATATAGGATGTTTTACAAACAAAATTGTGTAAGATATAATAAAAACACATTACATTTTTAAATTTAAAAGCACATTCACATTTTTCATATGTAAAATTGTTTTAATTAAAAATTAAAATAAGAAAGCAATAATATTTCAATGGATACTACTGTACTTAAAATACATATAGAAAGCTTTTCAGAAAATACTATTTGGTTTGAGAATATTAATGCTAATAACAATTATTTAAGCACTTAATAAGTAATATCCATTTAAAACTACAAGCCAACCATTGCTGTATGTCAATGAGCTAGAAATCGGGCTGTTGTTTGTGATATCCAATGTTCCATTTAAATATTATTGCTTTCATATTTTAATTTATAGCTATAACAATTGTTTATCTAAAAAATCAAATATGATTTTAAATTTAAAGATGTAATATTCAAGAACCAAGCATCTGATTTGAATATTATTTTCTTGTTTGATATTTATTCTTATTTATTTATTCTTGTTCTTGATTTTTATAACACCATATGACAGTTTTTTGTTAAACAGTACTTTATATTTGGTGTGCCATTATAGTCTAACTTCATTATATTATATATGTCTCTATTATGTACTATTATATTTGAGAAAGGTCCTATGTAAAAAGTTTAAAACTATTGCTTCAAAATAACTTTTCACAGGTATAAAAACTTATTTAAATAAAATTAAAAAATAATATAAACTACTTTTTACTTCTAAATTGCTTTTGAAAATGCATTTTAAAATCCTAATGTAAACAAAAGTACAATTACTTTTAACATAAAACTATTTAAAAATCTATATGACATATTGATTTTATTTACTACAATATTACAGATTTTATTAAAGCAATGATATAGTTTGAATAAGCAATTCAAGTTCTAGTTACTGAAACATCTTTTGAGACTAACAAATAAAAAATGATTAAAAACATTAAAAATAAATAAATCTTTAAGATGTACATAATTTTCTACCATATGCAATTTTTAAAAATAAACATATAATTTTATATTATTACAGAAGATAAATACATTTTATCAAGTTATTATTTCTAAAAACTTACTACTCCATCTTTATAAAACAGCATTAAAGCACGTTTCAACAGAACAATATGATTATTCTTCCCTCCTTGCAATTCTGCCTGAAAAATAATTTTCCATAAATCAATAATAAAAATTAAAATAATTTATTATTTTAGCCTTGTACAGGTGCTCCCCTACTTACAAACAGGTTAGGTCCCCAAGGTTTTGTTCTAAGTCAAAAACTAACATAGAAAGTACATTTGTACAGAGAATAACAATTAGTATTTGATCCTTCAATGTATTTAATGTTTATTGCTTATTTACCTGCTTGCTACTTCTTAGTATCAGCAGTTTCAAATATGGGCTTTTGTCATCTAATGTACTTAGTTTAGTTTCCACAGTAAAAGAGTGGCATTTCTTGCATTTATTTTCATTGCTAGATTTACTATTACATTTTGGATGCATTTTTGAAGAACTAATCATAAAAATTCATAAAAATTGCCCAAAAGAGTGAGAAATGCCATTATTCCAAAGTTACCAACTTTGACACCGCCTCATGAGCAGCAAATGAATCAGAACTTGCACAAAAATGAAAAATGACTATATTCAATAGAAATAATCTCACATTATTTATTACTGGTCAAAGACTGACTTCCATACCACTGCACGAGCAACAACAGAATTTCACAATCTGTGCAAAATGTAAATTTTAGACGTACAGTAAAATTGTTCTTAACTCTGAAAGTTCATAAGTTGAATATTCATAAGTAGAGGAGCACTTATATAAGTAAAATTAGTATACAAATTTAATGTTAAAATTCCAAAAACTTTTTTAGTTAACAATATATTATTAAAAAGTAAAATATTGTACTTTTTGAAATATTAAAAATATCCATAAATTACATATTAATTAATATATATAATTAATTAAATTAATTAATTATATTAATTAATATCCATAAATTACATATAAACAAATATAATTTCTATCATTGTAGAATATTTTGTTATAAAATTTCATTTAATAAATTTGATAGATGTATACAAATATTATCAAAGTGAACAGATTTAATAGTAACAATTACACATAAAAGAAAAATTCACAATAAAAACTATAAAGTTCAAAACACAAAGAATAACCTTTTCAAATATTTTGATCAATGGACAAATGTTTTCAGGTAACT